ATGTTTTCCGTGGAACGCTTGCAGGTATTTTCAACTTTTGGTTTTACGAGAGTTAGAGCTAAATATTTTAAGGGCACAGTTCTAGGTGCGGTTTAAATAAAATGGTAGAACTTTTTGTAGAATCTGCTGAAAGTTTAGTCGTCTGCAAAAAAAACTTTTAAAACCCAGTTTTAGACTTTGATTTCAGCTCTTCTTTCTGTGTAATATAAATATATATTAGTATTAAAGGTAAAGTTAAACAGATTTATATAATAAAATTAATGTCTTTGATCTTCGAGAACGAGAGAATTAAATTTATTATCTTGCAAAATTTTGAGAGATATCAAAGTTATGTCCTAGCTTTTCATACTGTAACAGTTTGCAGGAAATTCCTAACAACAATTTTGACAGTACACCGTGAGGTTTATGATGGGTCTTAGTTGCGATAACCACTGTAGGTTACGGCGACATGACACCGAAAACTTTGCCCGACATGTTCATCGGTAAACTCTGCATGTATTCTCGCCAGTGCCAGTGTCTTAACTATCGTCCTTTTAGTTCCGGATATTGTCAGTAACTTTTCCACGTTTTATTCACACGCGCAGGTTACTCGCATTATATTCTCTGTACATATATATATATATCTATTAATTTATATATAGCTATCCAATTACAATAAAACTTGTCAAAATTACTTTTATATAAAAATTGAAGGTAAATATGCTGAAACATGAAAAAATACAATTTTCAACTGTACAACAAACTCGAAGCAAAAAGAATTCTACCGCTTTTCCAAGAGAAGAAAGATGAGCAAGGTCGCCATATCAAAATTAATTATGTTGACACAGCAGAGAATCACTAACTTCTACCAAGTTTATCTTCTAAATTAATAATGAACTTAACGTGATCTCGATCGATCACCACTTGATTAAAAGATGTATTATAATTTAATAGGTATTAATCATAGATTTTTTATACATAAATTATTTCTAAAATAACTTGCAAATATTTATTCATAACTTGATTTACCGTTTCTTAGATAGATATTTGAGTTGAATAAAATAGGAGAAAATAGGAAGGTCTTATTACCTAATTATGATTCGTTCAAACGATAAATTATTTGTCAAATATGGTAGATGTGAAATAAAAAAACAGCTATAAAAAATTTATAATCAAAGAATAATATTCCGGATAATTATACACCTGCTTGTACAATTTATTTATTAAATAATTCTTAATTTTTTTAAAAACAATACAAAAAATTAAGTAAATACAAAAGATTATTAAGAGTCAACGCTGTTAGCAGTGCTTAATTCTTTTATACTTTAATGACTTAATTTTTTTTAAGGCAACTTCGATCAAACTTTGATTAATTTAACCAACACTGTTTATTAAGTAACATGAATAAAATTACTAAATTAATTATAGAATTATGTTTAATCTATCGAAAAAAGATGAAAAACAATGAACTGTCTTAAAGATTTTGCCTGAAGCGATTCTGCCGATCGACTTAACTATATACCGATTAAATTAATCAGAATTTGATCGAAGTCGCCCTCAATAAAGAAAATAACAGAAAATAAGTTTAATAAACTTTGACACTAAGTTTGAAAAAGTTTAAAGCGCGGACAAAAGAGGGGATGTCTTAAGATAATATCATGAATGATTAGTATTATTCTTCGGGTTATCGAACGTTAATCTTCTTCACTCGCAACTAACGAGTGAGTGTCAGGGTTGTTCTCACGGCGTAAATTTAGTATACACAACTCGGGAGTAACGCTGAAGAGGTGACAGCGCGCAAGCGTAAGCCATCGACCGGTAGAGAAATTCGCTTGAGAGTAGCGACGACCCCACTCGAGAGCAACCCACTCAACACGACCTCGAGCTATATCTTGTAACCCACACGTGAGACAGGACGCGTAAACGCGGCACCTCGTGCACGCACAAGCATTGTATTCCTACTTTGTAACAAGTTATACATCTTTCTACTTCACCGACAGTTTATCAAATATAAGTCATCGTGGCAGGCAAACCTGATTTTCCGAAAAGACTGCTATCGTTGGTTGGTTTAATGATTATCTATTCACTATTATTTGTTAAATTAACTACGTTTACACATATGAGAATATTTTAGTTAAAGAGAAATAGGAATCTGTATACAATTTTGATATTAATATAAAATCTTTATAATGTAATTTAATTATTCTATTCGATTTACAATGTTGACTTTTTAAGGGAATGATATTACTTAAGTTTGAAATCTCGTTGATTCGTTGAATATTCACCTCTTAAGAATTTATTTCATACAAATATAAATGTGATAAATATTCAATATAAATACAAAATGTATAATTTAAACATTTTTGCGAGTATTTTTTCGAAAGTTTACACACGTCATCGCCGTAGAATTGATTATTTCCTCGGGTATTTTTAATGAATTCGTAACTCGAAACTTTAAAGAGTAATATAATATTTGTAACCACGGAATATATCAATTACTTTTCATATTTTATTTAAAAAAAAAACAGTTTTGTGTGGCTTCTCTATTTAGAAATAAATCAAATATATATAAGTAAATTGCTTGTATGAGCTTTTTCCGCGATTGTTAGTGCGTAAATAATATATGTATTTATAAGGCGCGCGATAAGATATAATTCACAAAAAAAAATGTACTGCAAATTAATTGCTTTTACATTGTAATTTTGTTGATAAGTACATACCAATTTCTTGCGAATTATATTTTATCTCTATATAAAATGTATAATCTACGAATGAACATCTGTGGAGACATATGTCGTACAGACAATTTACTCATATTTATTTCATCTTAATATTTTATTTATAAATAATAAGGATAATAACGATAAAAATATTTGATTTTAATTTTCTTAGTATTGTTTGATTTATGATATTATATTAATGAAGATAAATAAAGAGATTTGGCAAATACTTTTTATCATTCTAGAAGAGCTCGTGTAGAAGGATAAAAAACGAGCGGCATGTTCTTAAGTTAATGAAACATGTGAGTGATATATGATCATTTTTATTATAAATTGAAGAGAATCCAGAAAATCAATCAATATGTTCTTACTATCGATAGTTGTAGCCTTCCTTTTACACATTTTTATTGAACGATATGCAGTAGAAATGGAAAAAGGGAAGAAAGGAAATAGAATGAGAAAAGAAAAGAAGAATAGAAAAGCGAAGACGGACGTTTTATGAGCTATAAAAAGCGTAGAACGACAGGAGTAATTCCGATCTATCCCACGGGTTTTGATCGTCTCACAGCGAAAAATCGCAATCTTGTAGAAAGTTAATTCGAAAGGGCAGCAGAAGAGGCTAATCTCATGACCTAAAAAGAGAATATCTATGTAATCGACTTAAGTCTCATCCAGAATTTGGAATTAAGTTAAGCGAGAACTTTGAATCGCACAATTTTAATTGAGTATAAAACCTTGGAAAAACAGACGGTTAATTTCAAATAGACATATTAAATCGACATATTAAATCATATAAGAGGGTTGATATAAAAGGATAATCATGAATTTCACACAGATAAACTTTAATAGTATCCGCAATCCAATAATATCGATTTTTTTTAATTTTACATATGGGAGACTTACGTCTATACCGCACACATGCTTAATGAATATTTAATGGAATATCTATTGGATACCCAATCTTTTATTCACATTTACAGATATTAATTAAATATTGACATTTATCATTACTAAAGAAATATTTTGTATAAAGATGAAACAATTTTTCGTGCAAGAATACATCGAAATTATAAAAAATTTTATAATTTCTTTATTTCGCACAAAGCTTTGTTTTCGAAAAAAATACTGTTACTATCCTTCATTGAAGAGAAATTTTAAATAAGTGAAATATTGTACATTAATTATTACGCATGTTATACCGTAAATTATATTGTGCGTTTATTTCATAACTTTGTAGTTTTTTAATCGATCATTCATTATATCTTATTTTGATTTATTAAACACATGTTATAATATATTAAACACATTATAATATATTGATTTGTATTATTAAACGATGAGAAGAAAGGTTCCAAAGAAATAATGACACTATAGTTAAAAAGTTATCAATAGTAACAAGCTTGAGATCGCGTAAAAAAGTCATGAGTTTTTCATAAAAAAAATTATACTATATAAAACTTATACATTATTTTATCTGAACACCAACTATAAATCACATCCTGTCCATTCATAGTCGGATACATTGTTATAAGATATAACAGTGCAAATAGCATTCGAATTTTTTTTTTTTAGATGACCACGATCGGGAAACGCGTTCGTCGAATGCGAAATCCGAGAAGACGGCCGGCTTGACGACTCCGAAGGTAACTTTAAGTCATCGCCTCGGTCACCAACTCGGTCGAACTTGAGGGCCACTTGGACGTGGTCTTGTCGCGACATAACGCGTACGAAACGGATGCGCGCGCTCAACCTCCGCACGCCGTCGCCGTCGCGACGCCAACCCCCACCTCGGCGACGACGCCGCCGCTGCCGTCCTTCGTCGGTGGAGACGACGTCGCTTTTCGTTCGCGATTTCAGTTCTGTACGCGCGACGAGTCGCAGCCGAGCCACCCGCGGTGGTCCTCGTCACATCCGCTTGTCGGTCGGTCACGGGGACAACGCGAGCCGGCGACGATGACGAGCCGTCTATGACGGCATCGGGTAACAACACCACGATGAAGGCCTGACCGTTCCGCCGATGATCTATTCGCGAGCACGGCGACGGGGAAAACGCCCTCTGCCTTCACGGCGCATTCCCTGCCTGACCTGACCTTTCGCTGGAGACAGAAAGAGAGAGAGAGAGAGAGAGGGTGGGAGAGAGTACGAGAGGAGTCGAACGAGAGGACTCGTGCTCGTGCGAACGTAGGACGTAGCACGCAGGACAACATAGTGCCTATTGTGCGAGACCGCCTGTCAACTACGGTATACCTTCGCGGAGCACCATCACCATCGTCGCAACTCAGCGACATGGAGAATACGAGGAATCGGAGCGGTGCTGTCGAGATGTCGCGGAAGATCTCCGAGACATGAAGAGAGCGCGACCGAGGGTGGGTATTTCGCCAATTCCAAAGAGAAGACGTTTCAGGAGGATCTCGACGTTGGCGGGTCGAGGGAACGAAACGCTTGCGTGTCCGAGTGGAAACGTGTCAATCACGAGGGTATCCCTTTGGGATACGCTTTGAAAGGGGAAGGAAACACGAACACACGCGCGCCAACCCCATGAGTGTTCGGAATGCATTTAGGCCCTTAGGGACTGAGTCCTTGTGAATTATCTTGTTCAACCGATAATGCGTTTCGTCCTGTTTACGGATTGCAAATCATTCCTCCTATATATATTCGACGCGATCATCGTGTTCGCACGTCACTATTGGCCGCTCATTGAACCAGTCGATTCGCCTGACCTACTCCAGTATCTCTAACATTCGTTCAATCCGTCTTCTCATTGATTTCTCGGATCGCTCGTTTCTCTTTCGATCGCCGCGCAGCATCGCCAACCGGCACGATCGCGAGTTTTGACAATTTCACCGAAGTTATACAAGCAATACTTCCGTCCGGCGAGCGGTGTGTACTCGCGAGATCCCGCGATCTCGCGTATCTCAGCCCCCGCGCGCGTTGGGGTGTTTCGCCGAAAACGGAGCCGCGGGTGGTAATGTCGACCAACGTACAGGGCGCAATATCGGTCTTTCGTGCACGCAGACTATCGATTCTCGCGCGACAAGGGGCTGGCCGACGCCGCCTGACGCCGCCACCGCTATACCGTCACCGTGATCGTTCCTGACGCTAATTTGTAGCTCGTCCATGGACAAACGCCTCGTTAGGCTCGCCTGCGTAAGAGGGGAAAACGTGCCCTCGAGTTCGCCTCACGGTCGATCATCCGAAATGCCGCTCTCGCTCGTGCACGTGCGAAAATACGTCCGGATGACGTCACGGGAATGCGCCCCGACCTCGAAGATTCGATCGGATTTCGTCGTTGCTAGACGTTTCCCGCCGCCACCGCCACCGCCACCGTCACCGCTGCCGTTGCCGCCGGTGGTTGGCGATCAGGGTTGATTTAGAATCGCGTCCATGCGCGTTAATTCGAGGACTCAGGCACGTCGACCTCGCGACATCGCTTGATAGCAGCATGCCGACGTGTATCTGGCAGATGATTCGCTCGACGTGATGCATCTCGAGCGCGTGATTTGATAATCGGACAGCTCGACTCTCTCTCTCTCTCTCTCGTCAGGGACAGTCTCGCGCGAGCCACATTGTTAGCCTTTACAACTGTTACAACTTTGCACAGTCGGCATACAAAGCGACAGCGGGATTGAAAAACCGATACACCTGTCCCTTTGATTTCACGCGGTGCCTTCTTTATACGGTTTCTGCTTTTTTTACGCGGTATAAAAGATTACATGGGCAAACGTTTAGAATACGGATCACCTCGTGGACGTTTTTCAAACTTGGCTATTTCGAGTCGCCGCGGAATCTAGATGTAAGTTACATGAAAAAGAATACGCTGCTTAAATCGAGACAGGGATTCTAATATATAATTTTAAGAACTTCTTCCTCTGTAAATAATATCCCTTCTTTTAGTTTAATTTATTTTTAACAGCTTCATCTTTTAACTTAAAATATAACTTGTGGCTGTTTTTGTTATTATAAAATCTAAAGATTTTAATTTATCCTTAATTGACAATTATATTAACCGACGCATTGTTTTCTTTTAATTATGCGTTAAAGAATGGTGTAAAAATAATGTTTGTTTGTCCTCTCAGATTGGATTTAGAAATGAAAACAGTTCTGTTGTGTTAAACTGAAACATTATCCTTTTATATCACACGTTCGGCGAGTTTATCGATGCAGAGGCGCGCATAATTGGTATGCAGATGTATTGATGTCACAAGAGAAGGTTACTTAAAAATGTTTCAAAAAACCGTTTTTACGTTTAAATGACATGTAAACTTAACAAAAAGTAATTGGTCGGAAATCTGATAAACGCAAACATATATTCACATGAGGGAGATAATTACAATACGTGATAATTACAATTCTTAATAAACGTCTTAACGATTTGTAACTTAAAATCTTTTAAATTCTTTTTATAACTTTGTGATATTTTAATCTCGTATATTTTAATCGTAACTGCGTAATTCTTTTTTATGTTCCACAACGGTAGCTTTAACGTGCCATGTCCCTGGCAGGAATTATTTTTCTCACAGCGCTACATCGTGAAGGCAAAATGAAAAAGTTGAATGAATACAGCCCTCCCAGAGATACGAGACTTAAAGAGCCGGAGCAATCCTAACGCTAGCATTTGTAAAGCTATATTCCTAAACCATACGATATCGATGTATGAGGGACTTTTAATGAAATGTTAAATGTCATAATTATCATGACAGTAATGTTAAATGTCATAATTATCATGACAGTAATGTTAAATAGAGTAGCTTTCGCATTCCGTTTTGCGTCAGTCTTTGAAATGCAGGATTTGAAGCAGCAATGACACCATTATGACACTTTCCGTCGGCTACGCCGTGTAATCCAAATGAGATTATATGGATGTCAAAGCAACCGGTCAGTAAAACCGGGATGATATATTACGATAAAATCATTACGCGTAGAATGCTTTGCTCGATCCTTTTATGCACTATTCGCACACGTGAACGGATGTGATATTTTACATGACGGAATAAGATCATAAATTGTACGTTTTACATTTCAATTTGAACTGAGCTGCACGGTCGAGTATAATACAAATTCGTGCAAAATGTTAATGAATTATTTGCATTTCAGTAAAGTAGAACGGATAGTCCCTCGTTTAATGAATAAAACTCTCTTGAACGTTCGCGTTTTTATTTCACAAATTATGTTACGTGATCCAAACAGGATTTAAATTAAGATCGATCGATTCAAAGCTGATTTCTGTTTAAATAAGTTAATTTTCAGTTAACAAGAGTGTAAATTGTATCAACCTTGATTAAGCTTTAGGAAGGTTAATTGGATAAAATCAATATAAGATGTCTACGCGATGGGGAAACGACGGTTTTCCATTCTAATTTTAGATGACGCGACGGAAGCGCTAATTGTTTGCAGATCGCATGGGTTTCTTTAAGTCGGGGCCGGCGGTAGCAGAGCCGTGATCAAAATGAACTTGATTAACATGGACGCGGAGAACCGCGTGGTTCTGAACGTGGGCGGAATCCGGCACGAGACGTACAAGGCGACCCTGAAGAAGATCCCGGCGACGAGGCTCTCGAGACTGACCGAGGCCCTCGCCAACTATGACCCGATCCTCAATGAGTACTTCTTTGACAGACACCCGGGTGTCTTCGCCCAGGTACTCAACTACTATCGCACCGGGAAGCTGCACTACCCCACGGATGTGTGCGGCCCGCTTTTCGAGGAAGAGCTCGATTTCTGGGGTCTTGACTCGAATCAGGTCGAGCCTTGCTGTTGGATGACCTACACGCAGGTATATCGTGAATAATGTCTGATTCGTGCACGTGCCTAATCACGCCTAAGCGTGGCTGCACGCAAAATCAGCGAAACGGATGCGTAAATTTATAACGTGATGTACAGTACGGTATATAGATATAGAGATTAAAGTATACAGAATACAAGGCCGAGCCGGTAAACTTTTCCAACATATTTAATAGATCAAAATGACGAATAGGCTTACAGATATAATATCATTTCTTTGCGACTCGGAATAATTTATCAAATTGAGAAGTTTGTCAGTGATTTATCATATTGTCTGAAACGTACTGTACGTCTTTTATTACCACGCTCACAAATGTGTCAGATTTTTATGCATGATATTAACATCTTTTTCATCAAAATGTCTTCAGTTACTTTGTGTTACTGTTTCTTTTTTAAAAAAATTACTTTTAATATTATTTTTAGAATCTAGTAAAAAGTGTGAGTTTACACGATATATTTTACTTAAATTTATTCCAGTAGGAGGGCCATAAGCTCTATACTATAGGATCATTTATTTGATAATATCTCTAAGATAAAAATGAAATATGAATAATGAAAAAGCCGATAAGTATATCACAATGAGAGAATCTTTTTCTATACACTTTCTCTGTTATCATCTTAGAGAGTTTGATGAAAAATGAGGAAATACGTGATCCAATAGTATACATGGTCTAAGAGGATACTGTTAGCAAATAGAATCTGAAAACTAGTTTGGATAGAGCGATGTGGAATAGACTCGAGTAAGCGTACGTGCAACATCGGACAAATCCGCCAGTAAGGCTGATCAAAGCCGAGCAGATATCATTGTCACTCACGTGAGGAGGCACACAACGGCTCGCGTATGCTTTTCACGCGCGCTTTATCTGTCCCAAGGCAAAGCACGAAAGAAAGCACACTCGAGAAAGAGTTTCGCAGGTACGAATAACTATCGTTGTTGCATCTGTCTCTCTTCCCACCCTCTTCGTCCCGACGCCCTTGCAGCATCGGGATACGCAGGAAACGCTGACGGTCCTCGACAGGTTGGACCTCGACACCGAGAAACCCACCGAAGAAGAACTGGCCAGGAAATTCGGTTTTGAGGAAGCGTACTACGAGGGAAGTCTCACGTGGTGGCAGAAGCTCAAACCTCAGATGTGGTCACTTTTCGATGAACCTTATTCCTCCGTCGCAGCTAAGGTACGATTTCAGTTTGACATATTACCATTAGGCATATAATTATAATACTAATTAAAATAGAAATTTATGTAAAATTTTAAATTTTTTTCAAGCTATAAAAATATATTTTTCAATTACTTTTATTTTCTATATTTAGAGCAAAAAAAGCATTTTTATAGCTTTTACTAATAAATTTTCGTACCCATTCAGCTCCTTTTAGTTTTAGCAATGATTATAAAATAATTTATTCATCTATGTACATTAATTCTACATACAAAACTCGTATATTACCAATATAGTTGTCTTTCTTTCTATGGATGTACTGTTAATTTTTATTAATAACTCGTTTAATTTTTGTATTATTAAAAGTTTTCTGCTATACATAACATTTACAAGTTGATCGTATGTCTGGATCTTTCAGGTAATCAGTATAGTCTCCGTTTTCTTCATCTGCGTTTCGATACTTTCGTTTTGCTTAAAAACCCATCCGGACATGCGAGTGCCGGTGATCGTGAATCGTTCGGTAAAGATTGACAACGTGACATCCTGGGTGGTAGACAAGACTCGCACCAATGCCCATGATGTCTTCTTTTACATCGAATGCGTCTGTAACGCCTGGTTCACCCTTGAGTTCTTGACACGTATCACCGCGAGCCCGAATCGCTGCGACTTCATCAAAAGCTCGGTGAACCTAATCGACATGGTCGCGACCTTGAGTTTTTACGTCGACCTGGCGCTGCAGCGGTTTGCGGCCCACCTGGAGAACGCCGATATCCTCGAGTTCTTGAGCATCATACGTATAATGAGGCTGTTCAAGCTCACACGCCACTCCTCGGGTCTGAAGATCCTGATACAGACCTTTCGCGCCTCGGCGAAGGAGCTCACGTTGCTGGTGTTCTTCCTCGTCCTCGGCATTGTCATCTTCGCCAGCCTTGTGTATTACGCGGAGCGCACCCAATACAATCCGAAGAACGACTTCAAGAGTATACCCCTTGGTTTGTGGTGGGCCCTGGTGACGATGACGACCGTCGGTTATGGGGACATGGTGCCGAAAACGTATATCGGGATGTTCGTCGGCGCGTTATGCGCATTAGCCGGTGTCCTCACGATCGCCCTGCCGGTGCCCGTGATCGTTAGCAACTTTGCGATGTATTACAGTCACACGCAGGCGCGAGCCAAACTACCGAAGAAGAGACGCCGTGTATTGCCAGTCGAACAGCCACGTGTGAGGGCACCAGGCGCGCCGCCCGGCGTGGCCGGCGGGCCTGGGACCGTCGGACCCCCAGGCTGTGGCCAGCAAATGTCACACTTGCAGTCCAGCGGGGGCACGGTTACCACTGGGCCCCACGGCCTCGGCATGGGCCAAACGCCCGGCGTCGGATGCACTGGCGGCGGCCAAGGACCGCAGAACCGGAGAATGAACGCCATTAAGACGAATCATCCGAAGGATCCGTTCGCCACGAAAACAGGTAACTCGAAGGCGTTCAGTCATTCAGGTGTTTTGCACGATTCGTGAGCTCGACTTTTACTTAACTCATTAGTCTAAGTGATACGCAATGGGGAGGTACATGATACGAAAGGATTAAAATATACACGTTAGAATTGGCACATAATTTAAAACTGCAGCTTGAGAATTCTCTTTTATGTTTTTGAGCCACTTACGAGAGTCTGAACAATCGTATAACAAGTTAAACTGTGGAAAATTAATTCGACAAATAACTGAATTCGGAACACGCACATTTATATAGATTATCGTATTCGTTTTTGTGCCGAGTTTTATACCTTACCCTTATTCACGAAAGACCATATCACGCGATGAATTTTACTTGAACTTTTAGATAACTTATCTGAAAATTGCTAAAGGCAAAATGAATCCTATACCGATTGTTTTTAAATTTGTATCAATAGTTATTCGTATACGGATTGGAACAATTCGAGTTAAATGATAAAATTATAGTTCATCATAGAATATCATAGTAAATCGTAATTTATGAAATTCTGATTGCAAATAGTTCGTTTTTCACTTATATCTAGATAATCTCTTGTATATAGTGACGAGTTTAAATTTCGCGTGTTTAATAAATACTTATGCCGTGACACACATAAAATAAACTATTGCAGTAGAACGCGCGTAGAGTTATACTTGCATACATATACATTTAGCATAATTAACAAATACATATACGAGCAAGTATATCATAAAGCAAAGTGCGAGATTCAGGTACTAATATCAGTTTACTTCTCTAATGTGCTCTACTTAATTTCCATTTTATAAAAATCGCAAGCAGTATTCAGAATGATGACGAATTCTTGCAAACGCGCAATGGTAATGCTTACGATAAATGCCATTAATACGTAAGAAAGAAATCTCAATATTTTTAAAAACGGTAATGATAAAGAATTATTGGCATAAATGATACGGGGTCGTTTTGAGTCGCGAAGTACGTCGGAAGATCGATAAAGCCGGCAAAACTCGACGGAGGACTAGCCGAGGTCCCGATCTCGTGATTTTCAAACGTCGATCGAACCGGCCAATCTCTAGTGTCTCTTTTTCTTTTTTTTTCTCGTATGGTGGGTTGCAGAGGAAGACCGGAGGAATTGTAACCTACGAACCAACGGGACCAAGAGAGCCGGAGGTTTGGATTAACCATTTGCGGTCGTAGTGTGCTCAGGCATGGGTATCTCTCACAACTGGTCGGAATTATTTTGGAGCGAACGACGCGGCGTGTATACACCTATAATCAAAGATTGTTCTGTAAAATCCCGTAAATTCCATTAGGCATGCTTTGGCAAGGGAAAAAAAAAAGAAAAATGTATAAAAACGATACCTCGCTGCATCGAAGCATCACACGGCTTCCGTTGCCCATTTTCAACGGCTAGGCAAAAATAAACACTGCCGGCGAAGCGTGGCGGCTGAGACCCGACAAGCGAAACGGTAAAAAAAAATTCTTGCGGCGGCTGTCATCAGATATACGATCGCAAAGGGTATATCTATTATTTATCTGGAATGTAGAATTAATAGAAACAATAGAGAAACACTTCCGAGGCTCCGTGTCCCCGAGAGAAGGGATTTCACCCATCCGCGGACACCGCGCCCGGCAGTTGTGTGTTTACCCGTTTTAATCTTAATTCTACATTCCAAATATTATTATATATATACAATATATACCGTCGGGACGAAGAGATGAATACGAGAGGAATCTCTCGGCGGTTATACCACGAGCCATCTATTGATCTAAATAAGCAAATTGTGTAGAAAGTCAAGGAGAACTTGTGTAGCAAATAGAGAACTTTCCTCCTTCCTTCGCTTCATAATTTGTATTTTTTAATATTCATAAAAGAGATAATACATTTTATTAATAGCAAATAAATGAATCGATGTATTGACACTCTATATCGTTCATAATCGAAGAATCTTCTCAAGGAATTCTATATAGATTGATTTTTCCTTTTGTGCTTGATATCTAGTGAATGCTATAATTTATAATTTCTGCTGTAGAGAAATTTTGTACTTTTATAATTTATTGTTTCACATCTGCTTTTCTCTGAAATATTTACTACAAAAATGACCGTAAAATCTCTTTTCGAGTGTTTCTTAGCTGAACAATATTCGCGTTATTTATATAATTAATTATATAAGTAATTTCAGCTAAATATTATTACGAATACCAGTTAGGCGGATTTTGATATAGAGACGCAAGAAATGTCTTCAATATTTATTCCTATTTGCTTTTTCTCTCTTCTTCCTTTCTCAAATTTTATCTTTAGTTTCATCTCGTTCCGAGTATAGCGATTAATACGCAAATGTAAAACGAAAATATCCCACAAGAGTGCAGCCGAATGTCTTATACCGTCCACCAGACCACCGTGTTTGTGACTCACGTAAACATCGCATCACCCATTGCTTTTAAATTTAAGATAGTTGGTGATCTAAGATACATTGTGGCAAAAGGATATGCTGCGCACAGTAGAAACGGGGACGTAAACTTTATTACCTTTGAAGCTATATACGTTTCCATTGTCGATATCATCACTCGGTCTATACACATTACCTCGATTAAAAGAAAAAAAAAATCGATTACTCATCGTGGAAGAACCTCGTTCTATCTTCCAGCGATCGTCTATATCGCGCGCCTACATTATTTCTATCGTTAGCGCCATTCTCGTGGAAACTCGTGTAAACGGTAAATCGAATAAGCGACAGTGGAAATTGCATCCCTGCATTGCAGCTCGTTTTATATAGCAAAAGAGATACCGATAGATGCACCGTATATCTTTTCGTACACCACACCGTCGTAGATTTTCACACCCGTCAACGTACGACTGTTGTTCACTGCACGTTTAGCATCGGCTGTGTTTTGCCCGATCCTATATATGATCCGCGTTCTCATCGCATATTTAGCGATAAATGGCTGCCTAATTTCCGCATCAGTGTCGATTAATTTTCGACATTGTACGTGGGACTTTATATCGAACAAAATTTGAAATTACGCAGCCACGTTCGGTAAATGCGGCGCTGAATAAGTGGTGAAAATGTACGCGAAAACAAAAATGGACACGACGTCATTGACATATGAGAATCTCGATACGAATCGGACGGCCACTTTTGGTCGTGAATGCGGTGAGGGTGCGGACCTATATGTCACTTTTACGCACCGTGAATATCGCCGGGACCAATCCATGAGCTCCTCCCTCCCCAGTATTCGAGATATCGTTTGTAATATCAATGAAAAAGAACAGCTCCCTGTTCTTGTCCCTCGCGCGGAGTTAATAGTGCAGCTCCTCTAATAGCAGTGAAGGAAGAGCGTCTCTTTCCGCGTTATACAATACATATATCTGTTGTGCCTGGGAACAGGGGGTAGAAGGAAGTGCAGGAAGGGACGACAAAAGCATATCATATAGGCACACGTGCGATCGAGTGTACGGATCTCGCGAACAGTCGGCGGACGCTCTATATAGACAATCGTCATTTCTCCGACAGAGTTAATCATAGCTACGCGTTTCCATTTTTTTTTTTCATTTCTTTTTTGGATGACTCAAGATGAGACAGCTGTTCTCTTTTGGACCAAAATTGCGATCGGTCGATTACATCTCACAAATTCAATAACGACCATATCTAAACATTCGTATTGTCGTTTCTTTTTATCTCATGGCACATCTCTCTCGATATAAAAATCATTATCAATACTAGCACACAAGTTGAAAATAAAAAAATTCCGTTTAAGGGATTTCAGAGCTGTTGGATTCGTATTCTTCATGCGTTGCAAATTTAATTAAACCGCTAGCATGTTGGGTTTACTCTAATGATATTAAATAATACAATAATACCATAATTATCTCTCCACATAGAATAATATAGCTGTATATTATTGGCATATGTTACAATTCTGATATTTTATTACGCACAATCGTAACGTTGCTTTTATATATGTATATTAAAATACATATACATTTACTTCTGTAATTAAGTTTTGTACGTTACCAAAACGCATTCGTAGATCAGTACTCGATCTTACATTATTTTCTATTTCAGTAATTAAACATTTAGGAGATTTACTTGTCATCGTATTTCTGGCTTCACGAATCTTGTCCTTTAATATTTATCTGCTTAAAATGCAATGATGACATTAGTCGATAAGATAATTTTTTTTAATTCAGGAATGCACGCACAAATTTCTACGCGTGTCATTTTACAATAAATACATTACTGCCCGATATATACATTTGCATGTAATTTTTTTTTAGTTTCTTAAGCTACGTATTAAATCCGTTTATTGTAGCCGGAAAGATTGATGTGTTGTTGAAGGAAGAAATTAATCAGATGACGCGAAAAATAAATGACCCGTCGCATAAAATAACTCAATTGCATTCATAGAGAAACTATGTGTACAGCCGTATATTATAAAAAAAAATGTATTTAGACTTTTAGATGGATGATAAAAATTATTTATATTATTAGAAAAGTGAATACTGCTGACGGATATGGAAATTGAATGAATAATAAATCCATCGTGCAAATTAGGTTAATATGAAAAGTTGGCAGGAAATTAACATTTAAATAGTTTCGCGGAGATCAAGTTGATACAGATATTTAATTAAACTATGAGAACTCTTAAACTCTTTATAGATCTCCACGTAAATAGAAAATTTATTTTCCTTGCACAAGACATATATGATTGGTTGAGTAATAATATTTAGAAAACGTTACATGAAACTTTATTCAATGTGTTTTCTCATTCTTTTCTCAGTATTTTAATTCTAAATACGTCAGTTTGGAATGATAACAATTTGATATATCTTGAATGTAAATATGAATTTTTTTAATTATAAAGCTACACTTTTAAATTTAACGACCAGTAAAATTTCATGTTTTTTTAAATTTTATGTACAACTTTGACTATTTTAATATTTTATAATTCTATATTTTTTATAAATAATCAGTATTACGAAAGCAAATAGATGATAATTTCTTCTTCTTAGCAGTTCAATTGTTACCTGATAGATGCCTGATGTTTAAACCTATTTAGCTAATTTAGTTGTTTAATTATTATGAAAGATACGCACACGAACACATCACGAGTAAACCTTCATTTTCGACATAAAATATAGAAATCGGAAAGAAGTTTCCGACATTCCAATTAAACCGTTTCGGAGATATTTGCGCGTTACACTTTTTGCGAAATCTACGTAGTATACTTACGTTACACCCGTTGGTCACGTCTAATAAGGGATATGAATAATTTGTTGATGGAAGACCGTTTTCTATATTTATTCTCATTTATGTGCGGTGCTGTCGGTTTGAGTTTGCTCGCTGCTCACAATTGCCCCGATTCTTTGTGCCTTAAAGACTGGATTTCCTATCCAGGGTTGCACCGACCATGCACTGGCTGTGTTACGTCTTTACCACTTTAATCATTAGGGACTATACACGGTCTATGCTGTGGTCATGCTGTCCACGCAGTTGCTATGTTGAACAACTCTGAGAAAGAGATGTACAGGAAAATTAATACGTAATTCGTGTAGTCCTTGACACAATTCGTCAATAAACAAATCCAAATCGGATCACTGCATCTTATTATAGTATCAGTTTTTGTTACCCTGATGTTTCAAATTGGATTTTTTAAACGCGTGTTTTTTCTTTGCTGCTTGTTCTAATTTAAAAGATATAGCTGAAACGTATAACTCGTACTTATTTAAAAAAAATTGAAGATGAATCTTAAAACTTAGAAGCTATAATTCGAAAAATATTTAAATTTTAGTGCCTAGAGAGTGTAAAATATATGTTGTGATATAATTTATTTCACCACCTCGTGCCTATCATCTATAACGTTACGTATACACGCAAAAGCGATAGAATGGAATACATTGAGAACATGTGTCTCAAGAATCATGTTTGAAACAAGAAGCAATAGAACGATGTAAGTGCAATCCATGTGTAAATTGAGACAGGTGCAAATGGGTGTTTGCATATTATTTAAATGGAAATAACACCACCCCTGCAATTTCCTGTGACATACAGAGCACCGCGGGTACAGAGCTCCCCCGTTATGCAGCCCTGTAAATGGAAGCCAGCCATAATTCGACCCTGACTAGACTATATATCCCGTATCGGCAATACGAGTACGTCCACGCACACATACGTTATATTTCACGGAATGCTCGCATGCATGTTGCAATATTCAACGCTGTTGACTCGAAATAAGAGAGCGGGAAAACGCACGGGGTTGCATTAGGAGATCGATGCCGATGACTCCAAATGTCCCTTCTTTCCTCCGCGGTCCGACCAGGAGAAACATTTGGATTCAAATACAAATGTACTTATACGCGTACAATGTATGTACATTCGCGCGGGAACGCGCGGGAATTCCGAGTCGTAACGTTCGGCTGATACTTTCGGCTCTCTTCCGTGATAAATGTCTCGAACCAATAAGTCCAACGTGACGTTTGTAAATTGTCCGATGCAGCAATTTGTGCCGAACTTCGCGGGAATATATTCGAAAGGGAAAACATTGCCGTTTGATCCAAAGTGCGATCTTTGTTTTACTGCATTCGGAGAAAAACAAAGTAGTAGCAACTACGTATAATAGGCTTTCAATAAGCCACTGCCTAAGCTTTAAGTCTTAAGCCGTAAGTAATTGACCAATCACAGCCTAATGCAGTTTAACGTAAGAAGAATAATACAATCGATTATGATTGGTCAATTTCTTACGGCTCAAGTGATAACTTAAAGCTTAAGTAATAATTATTTATGAAAAAAGTCCCACAAGGTGAAAACTGTACAAGTTTTGAATATGCAAAATTAATGTACATAATTGAATAAACAACTTTACAGTTACGATAACTGTATGTCCTGCACTAATTCTACGTACAAAAAACTTACGTAATCGCCACTCCTTCGCAGTTGCTACCACTATATTTTTTTTCTGAGTGCGAAATAAATAATAGAGCAGGAAGTTAAGGCGAAGTCGAGTGAAATAGAATACAGAGTAATACGAACGATGTCTCTTCTTCAATAAACGATAATCGCGCGTATAGAGTTATCGATCAATTTTCGAATTACATGTCGTTTCCCCTACCTTAAATGACCCAGTAAAACGACCAGAAATGGGCGAGGGGAAGGGGGAAGGAGAAAAAAAAAAGAAAATGCATATCGGCGGCGGGTACAATGAGCACGCACGCACAACAGTTTTTAAGGGGAGAAAGCGAGAGTGTGTACAGACTCCGTGTGTATGTGCGATCCGCGCACACATTGTTGCTCTAGTGCTGCATCATAGGTAGCGACGTCTTATATATGGTACCTACTCTTTTCATGACGGCCAGTAACGTTAGCATAATTTACAGTAATGTACATTTGCCGCTTGCGGTTTCACCATCGCGTTCGCTCCTTGCGCTTTTACGTTGACCGCGGGATTGCCGGATAGCCATCGGACACTTTTTCTCTCTTTTTTTTCCTCCTCGCGAAAACGCGTACCTATTCTTCCCGACGATACCTCCTCGCTTTCGACATCGAACGTCCCACTTTAACGCCTGGCGCAAGCAGGTCTACGATATAACGCGATGTGCTAACGCCACTGCTCTAATCGAAATTGATTAATGATTATTGATTATCCATTTGCTGACTCGTTACAAACGCGTTAAATTTATTCTCGCCACGTGTTTACTTACGTGCTGTTACTTTCCATTTAATGTTACATATTCTGTGCCAAGTGTTGACCCAGAATGGAAGACCCGATTTATAGTTTGCGTTACTATTAAATCCAGGAATCGTTTTTGTGATTCGGAATGAAAAATCTGGCAATCCTGATCGACTTTGGGGCTCTGATCTCGTTACCTTTCTGTATAAGCGTTTTCCGTTGGTTTCGCTGCTGTTCAGGATTAAGGGTGAAAGTCCGGTTTTCTAATATCAGGTTTTTCTAATATGTATAGGGTTCGGTTAATTGACAGCGGGATGTGCAGGTTACGCGGATACAAATTGAATTTTATATATACATCTGGACATCTGGATTTTTCTAGATGTGACTCGGATATCAGTCGGACAGCTGATAATTCCGGATATAACCGTATAGAAGTTTCATATATCCAAACGGACACATATATTACACGGATATGTGTGAAAACTTCTCGGATTCTTTGATAACTCTCGCTACAAGCATAAAGATAAACGAAAAAAAATCTTGTGTCGACAGAGACACTTTCATGTTATACGTGAGTATAAATTCTTTAAATATTGGAAAAACTTTCCGGAGATTACCGAACATCCGAACTTTCGTCGAATTCGACTTGAGCGCGGTTCTCGAATCTTTTATCGGATATTCCACAGAATATCTCAAGATTCGATATCGTGATACTGTCAACTATCATTTGCTTGAGTCTCGCGTTACCTGCGCATACCGTAAACGCCACGAATTGTACATTGCTCCGTTGTATCGCTCGACGATATAAATACAACGACGAACGTCCGACAGTTCTTCGGGAACACGTAGCTCAATTGGATGCAGTGGGGTGCTTAATCGATCTGAAGACAGATTCATCGAACGTTAATTTCTCGTTACGAAATTATTGTTGGACATTTTTGTCGAGCATTTCAGCTGATACATCGTTTATAAGCTTTCAACAATAAGCCATTGTGTGAGACTGCATCCAGCAGAAAAAGCAGCTTGTAAAATTCTTGAATATAATTGATTTGTACATTTAGATTCAGTGAGGAACTAAGGCAAGGCCAATTATATTAAAGAATTTTACAACAGTCGCAAAACTACTTTTTCTGCTGAAAGCAGCCATTACCTATAAGCTGTGAGTCGTAAGAAATTGATTAATCATAGCCGATTATTGTTCTCGCATGTGATCGGTCACATTTCTTACGGCTTAAGACATAAAAGTTTAGATAATGGCTTATTGTAAATAGCCTATTACATGTGACGCATTTTAACGTGACAGTCGTAAAATGAGGATACTCGGTATATCGTTTCAGTAAAAAAAAAAAAAAGAAGGAAGGAATAAACCTCTTCTTCTTTACGTCGTGTATTATTATTTATTTAAACTTAACTTAAATTAAAACTTCCATGTAGATTTACTCGAAATATATATGGCCTCAGCACTTCGCGGGTTAAATGCCCCACGGACATCCGAAAAATCTGTAGAGTATTATAGGACAAAAACATGTGCCCCCGCACTAAGTGACCGTACACAGTGACACGCGTAATCACGTACATATTTGCATACACGTTCGTCGCGACCACCGCCCTCTCTCTTATGCTACTTAACAGTCCTTTTGACTTCGTAGGTAGATACGTATGATTTCGAATTATACGACAGCGACGTCGCCGACGACGACATCGAAGTTAACCGCTGCAGTTCACCACTGTCGTCGAATTGTCTCCATTATATTATCGCTAATTTTCCTTATCGTTATCATTATGAATTACGAATTATAATTATTATACACGACGTATATATATATAGATATATGCGAAATAGCTTGTATAAAAGAAAGACTAACGCGATCTTGACTTCTTCGGAGGCAAGATGACGAGCGCACGTTTCTTCTAGAAGAGCAATTCGAGGTGATGCTGTCATCGTCGACATTATTGTATTAACGACATTATAATTTATTCTTGTAACGTCATTATCGTTATCGCTAATGATTGCCGTGATTGTCGTCGGCGCCTTCCGCAGCGGAAGTTACCATCGTATATACATTATATATATAAATAAGTAATCGTTCTGCCGCTAATCTCGCGTTTGGGAAATCTCGACGTGAGAAATCGGTGCCCCGTGATTAATACACTGCGTATTGTAGTCGACGATCGTGACGGGTAATCGAATAAGAGAAAAAAAAAAAAAAGAAGAAGAAGCGGGACACAAAGGCGAATTATATGCGTATATACATGTATATATTTATATATATGTATATATACATGTATACATTATATCACTATATCGAGAGTTGTGCGCTGCGTTTACGATTTAAGCTAGTTCATTTGTAAATAAAGACTATTTGACTCTTTGACTTTTTGTGGTATTAATTATGCAGCACGATACTTCAACCCCAATCCCATAATTCCCGTCCCGTAATCTCGCATCCATTAGTCTAAACCCGCGCAAGCGAAATCTCATCTTTATTCCGTTCGAAAATATTTTCCTATATTTGCGCTGCGAAAGCGACAGCGACGTCGCTCGACAATGCTACAGAAACAGTGTCGCAGACAGTATACAGATGCAGTCGATGACGCTTCCTTCTTCTGTTGGACAGTTGTCTCCGCATTAATAGATCGTCTAGCGTACCGCTACGCGCTTTATGCACCTTGCGAAGCGTGGGATAATTATAACGCTCAGGCTATACAAGCTAACTGTTGGTACGTGAGACACATGCCGGCATTGTCTTCCAACGTGCCGTCCATGTTAATACCCGGACCAAACGCTACCCTTATGCGAAAGGGAGTAGTCCAAGTCTCGACTCGGCAGTTACCCTCTGCGTCGAGTTCGTTTCGGCCGCACAACGAACTGCCGCAACGCTCTAAATTGCAGATACCTGCCATGTTGTTTCCCGGCTAAAACAGACATTTGCAATAAACTAAAGCATTAAACAAGATATTACTTCCGTCTTCTGATACAAAATGTGCCAAAGTTGCTCTAAGAACACGATAGTATCGCTACACTTGTCTTAGTGCCGAGACATTACCGTGTTTTCTGATTAACCCTTTGTACACACGACGGATATTTCAATCTAATACAATGGATTATTCGTCTCTCTTATTTTGCATTATTATTACAAGAGTATACAAAAATTATTAAGCAATTTTTACTTTAAAATCTTTAGAAATTATTTATAAAGTTAGGTACTAAAAAAAAAAAGAAAAAAGTAAAGCACATTATCGTTATATATTTAGTGAATGCGGGAGCATTTCAAAGAAAAGAATATTAAAATTTTAGTATTCACAACACAAATGATCACATAAATCCAAGTTGAAAATTTTTGAACGGAGTAATAAATTATGTAATGGTAGAAGTTGTGACAATCATATATTTACATTATTAGGCATTGCTAGACTTTAGCTACATAATTATTATTCAGGTAGCATGTTCATAATCGCAACACAAAACTTATTGTATCATGTTCCAATTGTGGACCTATACGCGTGCTATTTGAGTATAATTAAGAAAATATTAATTAAACACGACGTACCGTAATAAATTCCTCGAAATCACAAGGAATAAGTATCCTGTCTCTGCACCGTCTTCCGAAGGAAGGTACCGAATTCGTGTTGGAAATAAAAGTCATCTCCTGTTCAGATAATCCTGCTCCCGATCCCTCGACAATGTCCATACCGGAACCGTTTACAGAAGCGACGTTTAGATTGGCAGCCGCAGAGGCATTTCCGCTGTTCGCAGCGATCATTGCGGGAACCGTGTTATTGGTCGTATTGGACAGATCTTGAGACCTATTAGGACCTATCCGAAAAGAGTCTCGCGTGCAAGGCTGATAAGAAATACCGCACATGTCTCTCTCCTGACGTACGCATAATAGGTAATCGCGTTCGGCGAGGTATCTGCCGTTCGGGAGATAATTAAATGTCCTCAGTGTGCCGTTGAGTGAGTGAAAGTATTGGAGACATCCGACCGGTGCACGTTGCTCGAAACCCAGCTGCATCACCCGCATCTCCCACATTCGCGACTGCAGTCCGCTTGGCAGCCGGAAGTTTAAAGTGATTGGTTCGTTGCCTTCGCCCACGTCCACGTACACTGTGCCGAGATATACAGCAGTCTGTGCTATTTAAATTGCTCGAAAAACGTACACGTGCCCGAGATGTTCCGCGCGCCAATAGAGATCGAATTTTAACACTAGATTCGCGGTACTACAAAAGGAGCAATTACGGAGATTGTGTAAATAATTGTACAAACAAATACTCACCGTGTTGCCCGCTGTTCCATCCACATAGTTCGAAAGACGTCCTGTTATTGTTAATTACCATAACATCGCCGTCGCACACGCCAGTCAAAGCGTTTGGCTGACCCTAAAACAGTCTCTAGTTTCACATATACCTGCACGGGGAAAAACGATTTGTTCTAAAGTATTTAAAAGTTCAGTTAAATACAGATCTAATGTGAGTATAAATTTCATAATGAAAAATGTTGCACACAGTTTCTAGCAACCTCTTGACTATACATAATTATTCTGATGGTTTAATAAAATTATTTTCAGATCTGTGTATGTAGTTAATTTTTTTAGACGTTTTAGCAAAACCGTTCTTTAATTTAATTTAAATTTGGTTTAATTTGATTTGATTCATTTAATTTATTTTCCGTGTATTTTTTCTGCTTTTTATACTTTGTGATTACTCCATACACATCGCTAACTCAAACGAATTATGTGCGTTTTATTTATGTAAACATATTCCAAATATGCTGATGTCATTTGTCGCCATTTTATGTAAAAATAACGTCTACTGTCGTCAAAATGACGATAAATAACATCAGCTTGCCACCTGGAATATGTAATATAAAAACTAATATGCGATCTTTCTTCATGTTCACTTTATTCTTACGTATTTTGTCCTTTCCTCTTTTTCCCCTTCTTTTATTTTCCTCATATTTACAAATTTATTTATAAAATAATAAAATTAAGTACCAGCACATTTACCCGCAGGTAGCACAATGTCCAAAATCGAGATGTAAGACGTCTTAAAGATACCTTGTGTTCTAATTTTAGACATTGTGCCGTCTGGGTGAAAAACAACACTGACTAAGATTTTCACAAATGCTGCTAATATCATCAGGACAGTATCCGGAAATTAACGTTGGCGTATAGTTGTTTGAAGAAAAAAATTCTGCATTCTTCACACGTGTCAGTATCGACATTATCTTGACGACTTATGGAATACTAGATGTACTAAACGATACTCGGGGGAATCGACAGTTGCAACTAGCCTATTCCTAGATAACACTATAATAATAAGACATTCCTGAGACTTACAATGTTGAAATGGACGAAGTCGATCCTCAACTGGCTGACCTCCGTATCGATTTTCCGTACAAGCACTGAGCAGTTCATAGGCCGGTCGATGAGGTTGGGAAAACCAGGACTGGTCACGTAGGTCAGATTATTCTGTACCTCATTGTCGCAGCTTGCCGTGACTGTAAACCATATTAATTACTGACACAGTTAACAAAATACTTGTACCGACCGTAGGGTGTTTGCGTTTCGTACGCTTTGGAATATTTAATTAGAGTAAGCACCCACGATATTCGCGCACATTTCCGTGAAATTTTACGTCCGCATTTAAGTCAATCCAAACAAGATCGAACGCGAAGTATAATAGCATTCACCGTTAAACTCGTTAAATTAGCATTAGTGACGATTAATAAAAGATTACATTGATGAACGAATAATGAATCGCCTTACATTTACGTACAGCTCGAACTTCTGATGCTCGAACGTTTAAAGCTCAAACTAATAATGCGCTTTTAGCCTTCTAAAGTTAAGTGGGAAATCAGACACCTGAGTTCTATAGTGGCTTTTCTGAGGAATACTCAGTATAAACTTTTATACTTCATTTCCCTCCCCTACTATTACACTTTAAATAACTCTTTTCTTCAACGTCTTTCCAAAATCTATTAATTTTTCACGTAGATCGATCTATACGTAAGGAGAAACACGAATGTACAAGTGCGAGGAATTATGACGCAGTTGCTATTAATTCACCCAAAATAGCCTGTTTCCGCCGAAATTTCCTGTTTAAAATTCACGTCTATGCGAACGGATTAAATGCGAATGCCAGACATTCTAACACTTTCGTGAAGTATCTTACTGTGGGCGTCGCCTGCGCGATATTCTCACGAACAGCCTCCGGCTTCGATAACGAGTTCTCATTCAGGCATTCAGTGACCGTTTTAGAATCTCGGGACGCTATTCAACGGCCCGTTGGCTAAAAGAAACGCACGCTGCCTTCGCATGTAGATCTTACTTCCTCCGGCGTTGCGAGGAAACATCACGGTGGGCAATATAAAAAATGTATGAGCGGCTGATGTCGCGTTGCAGGCAGCGTGCATTCAACGATTCAACGAAAAGAGTGCAAAAAAAGCAAGAGATAGGCAAGATAGGTAACACAACTTTCGATTTGAACCACATTACTCACCGTATCTATAATATATGTCGCGTATGCAAAATTATACACATATGTATGCACATATATAACATAGAATCTCGGATAAATACGATACCTCAGAATCGGCGATCTATACTCTTAATTCTAACAATACATTCTTTGACAAATGTACAACTAATTTTTTAAATTTTGTATTGTAATTACTTTTAAGCAGCTTTTGACTATAATAAAAAATCCAGTATCGCAATCGAAAAAAATGTTTATCAATACACTTTTAAATCAATTTCAAAAAACAAAACAAATTTAACTTATCACGGCTTTATGCATCGAAATAATATTTGCTGCAACTTTCTGTAAATAATTTTTTTTAATACAAACGGATCTAAATACAATTTTTTTGTACGAATATTTATTATAGTTTTATTAATACATATAAAAAATTTAATTTAATTTATGATGCTATGATCTTATCGAATTTACAAATAAGTTATACTATAAAATGAGATTTTGTGAATCAAAAGGCAAACAGATTAAATAAGAAAATCGTGCTCAAAAATTTTACACTCAAATAAACGTAATAATACAATTTCTCTCTATGAATTTTTTATATTTTTGATCATACTTTAGCATGTAATACATACATCCTTAATTTAACATACATACACATTTTTAACATAAAACATTACAATGTTTAATTTATATTAAAGATTAAGACTATACTTTATTTCCACCTTTTGATAAATCTTAGCTTATTCGTTCTGCTGTTCTTGTTCTCTAAATTTTATCTCTCTCTCTTTCTCTCTCTCTCTCTCTCTCTCTTATCCATTAAATAAATTACCACATGTTTATCCAAGATGGAACAACCTGCCCTAAATAAGTATCTTAATGAAACGAGAACGTAGACAGGTAGTAGGTTCTGAGAGCGCAAAGAGCGCTCTAATAAATCGCGTAGATTGAAAGTCTCCCATAGAAATGTTACGAGTTAAAAAATATCAGTACTTAAAAGAATATATATATATATATTTTTTTTATATATATACACTGTCGTCTGCTACTTATTACATAATTGCCGTTCTAATCCCGTAAAATTGTGATGAGCTATTTATATCTAAAGGTCACGTCCCCATGTCTTTGACCATGAGAGCATTAGAAATTTATTTGTTCGTGTTATAGCTCTCGTAAATCCGCTCGAAGTGTATATGCATCATCTTTCTTCCGTAACGCATCAAATTTCGCGATATTAAATTATTTTTGCGGAATGACGGCATACGATAGTAAAACTTAGACTTTCAGGATGCAACGTATAAGGATGGCAAGAAGTGGTATTCGCGAAATCGGTCAAGAATCCGTACGTACGGTATGGCCGTGTTTTCGACTGTGGAATAGCATGTACCGTGGCGGAAAAAGCGAATGGATGCAGACCGAATAAAAAGCAACAAGGAGCGATTGGACGAGAGACTTTATAAAACAGAGACGGACGATGGAACGGTTTCAGGCTGGCATATAAGAACTTTTCCGCGCTACATGAGATTTAAATTGTAAGTCGCTTCATAAAATGAGACGAGAATGTTCGTAATAATAAAAGTTTAATCACCATCAGGGATGTACACCTAAAAATAATGCTATAAAATTCCTATTTTAGCTACATTTAAATTATCTTACCTTCTTAAAAAGAAAATTAACATCGTTAGCCGCATAATAGAGTCTTAATTCGAGGAGATTTTTTTTTTTTCCAGTAAATGAATCGATATTAAATTTTTTAGGAATAAATAAAATCTGTACTAAATTTACCTTCCACTAAACGTCCACAGAGTCTGTCATATAATCACCGTTAATGTACATAAATGGTGCATTACTTAATGAATTTCAAGTTTGGTACCTTCACTTAATGAGAATTTAATACGGTGGCCAACTACGAAGTTGTTAAGTCTAACGTCGAAAATTTTAAGCGCTTGGGCGAAGTAAATTTTAGAATTGGAGATGCACATCGTTGATGTCTATCTTTCAACAAATTTCAAATGGATTTTGTGAGAATGTAAAATGAGCTGAAATTCTACAGAAAATTTATCGCTAGAAGGAAATATATATATATATATATCGCAAGTGTCCATAAAATGTAAAATTTCACAATATAACGCGCTTAGAGGAGATACGAGTCCCGCAATTCGATTACATATGGAACTCTGCATATTGCAATATTTGTAAAATAGATTTTTAAAGAACGATATGCTCGGTCACGCTCGATCATATTTGCGAATTTGTTGAAAAGCAATGTAAACAAGCTGCCGGAGAGACAGTGGACCTCGTACAGTGCAACACTTGTGTCCGCACCGAAAGGCAATTAAGTAACTGTATAACCTGGCCTTCAAGTTCTTCCTCGTGCGAACTCACCGGGTAAGCGTATACCGTTCCTCCTTTTTTTCTTTCCTTCTTCGAGTGCTCCCTTTCACGCTATCGAGGAGAACGTGCTGCTTGAGATCGTCCCGAAGCTACACCCGGCTATCGCGATACCGTTAAACTTAGCAGAAAAGCGCTGATCGATTCGGCATCAAATCGACAACGCGAATACGAAAACTGCGGTTGCACGGATACAATTTTAGACGCTAAAAATAACATATAACTCCTAACCAGAAGTATATTTTCCGCATTATTTTTGGACGACATTAAACAGCAGTGTCGCGTAAAAGAAATAATGACGTAAGAAAGAAAATCTGATTAATCAGTTATTTATATAAATAAAAACAAATGTTCTATATGCAATGATTGCAATTATTTATACAAAATTATCTAAATAAGTTATCTAGATAAATAAATAGTTTCATACCTTATCCTTACGTAAATTATTAGAATACACATATGTATATTATTTCCTTATCTTAGATAAAAGAAGTGTTACTTTTTCAAATTATATCTTATATCAATTATCCATACTGCACCAATATAGATTAATTTTAATCTCGATTCAACTTACTCTTTACCTTTTTCTAAAAATTAAAAAGCATGAAGAGTAAGTAGAATCGAGATTAAAGTTAATCTACGTTGGAGGATACGGGCATAAGATATAAATTTATATTAATGTAACGAGATTAAAGTAGGATTTTAGAACATCTCCCTTTTTATGTTTATAAATAAACGGACGTTTATATTTAGTTAATGTTGTTAGATGAGTGCGATTCAGGACTTGTAATTCTAAACATTAACTAAGCTGATGTGTCAGTGCTATTGCTTAATACGCCCGCATTTTTTTATAATATTTGATTTAAGAAAGGAATATATATATATACATTTAATTTTAACATTGAAACAGTTTTATGTTTAAAATTTAAATCTAAAGAATTAAATTTTTATTTTTGATTCACATGTTAAATAGATTTTCTTCAAATAAAAAACATATCTTGCTATTATATACTGGTGTGTCAGTGGAGCATCTTGGCATCAATAGAGATAATTTTGAGTTACCTAAACGGAATACCGTTTATAATTGCACATGCCTAAAATCGGAAATTTCTCTGAGCGTAAACAAAAGATAAAGATAGAAATATAACGTGTATCTTAAGGGATTAGTCATTTCATCAGGAATTAGAAATATTTGCGGATAAAATACGACGTGTCAGAGAGACGTCACTTTTGTTGCAGCCAGAATGAATTGACGCTTCGGTAGGTCCCTCCAGATAGGTTTCACGATATCGCTTTTAAGATGACGCGCATGACAAGTTATATTCACGTACGAATGACAGGCATACTCACATATGCAGCACACGCCAAAACCGAGCGCGCACGGTCCGTGAGATTGCCCGCGCTGAATACGGCACTCATATGTGTTCATGCATATTCCCTGACGTCGTTTGTCCTCGGACAGGCACTCTTCCTCGACCGGAACGGGAAAGAAGTTCAGCACTGCGGATAAACGCGAAACGAGTCAAATAAACTCGGAAAAATCCCCTCGTCCGTTCTAACCGTTAAATAACGTCACTTACTGGAATGTAAATAAATGTAGGAGGTATGGATAAAAAATGGTTACGCGAGAAATTTGATGAAAATCTACAGATACAAATTTATGGAATGCATATAAAACAACAAACTGAGAAAAAATGTAATAAAGTTTAATAAATATTTATTTAAATAGTATTAATTAAACATTTATTTGCAGTAAATAAATATTTACTCATTTAAAACGATAATACATCAAATTAATGGTTTTTGTATTAAATATATCTTTATATTTAGTAAAATATTTAGTTAGTATTATTAAAAGGACGATTTATTAAATTTAGTACATTTTTTCAATGTAGAATTACTTGCAGTATTTACTTAGTCTTTTTATTACATTTAAGTATCATGCTTTACGTTTTATATTTGAGCACTTCCTCGACAAAGATTTAACTTCATTGTATTATTAATTTTTACTCAATTTCTTAAATAATTAATTCAAATGCTGAGAACAATCAATTATGTTTTTTTTTAATCAAAAAGTGACACACGTTTGATTGTTGAAAAACAAACAAGTAAATCAATAGTAAGAATACCATCAAAAATTAATAAATAGCATTTGCATAATTATTTTTTGAATTGTATTATATAATTTATCATAATATATATGCATCATTTAATACGCAGAAAATACACTTGGAAAAATAACTTTGCAAAATTTCTAAAATTGCATGCACGTTGCAAGGAAAAGAATTTATTCTTTCATTTACGTCTCTCTCAAATCAGACAGCAAACGCGATGGCAAGCTAAGAATAGCGATGCAAAAGACAGAATTTTCTTTACAAAATCTTCAATTTTCTTCATCTTAAAAGAGGAAGACAATGTCAGTGTCAACGTTAGTTTATGTCCAGTGTCAGTGTCACAGTATACATACGGTCGTCACCGTGATAGTGGTATCATATTTTGATTTCGGGAATTATTAAAATACGTTACTAGGAATTATATACGAAACAAAAGAAAAGGTTTACTGAAGTATTCAAAAATTTAGTTAGATATAGATTTAAAAATTATTTTGTTTGGATTATTAGAATAACTACATATAAAACACTCTAACTGATTACTAGAACGTTTTACCATCGACGCTTAAGAATTTTACAATATTTTGATAATCCAACAAAATTGCTTTCAGGTCTTTATTTATACTGAAAAAAATTTGTTTATTTGATTAAATTAATCTAGTTTATCTTTATTTCTTTCGATGAAAAGAACGTATGTATGTATATTTTGAAAAAAGTATTGATTATTATATTCTCCAGTAAAAGAAGATAAATTAATATTTCTATTAATTTAGTCAAATATAAAATAATTGATTCAGTCAAACAGGAACAACTTTTTTTTTCTCCATATAATTAAATTTTTAGTTACTTCATCAAAATCGTTCTTTCCTAAGTATGGATATTCCTCTTTTCAATATCTTCACGTCGTTTGTGCAATGTTATACTCACCCCTGGAAAATCGAGTCGCGTCACGTTCGAAGATCTCGTTAGACGTCGGCTTATCCCCTGCGTGATTCGACCAGAGATTCAGTCCTAAGAGCGACCATTGGTGTGTGATCTCCGGTAAGGTGAGTAGCACGCTAACGCTACTTAGCGTGAACCAAATAGAACACCATCTCCCCACCGGTGAAAATGATGCTTCGGCTACCGTGGCGATACACAAGATAAATATCCCATAGCAGCGTGATAGCATAATCGCGCCTTCGGATCACCGGTATTTGCGAAAACGCATTCCTGATAGCGCGAAATCGTAAGGACACATCCACGCTAACACTGAAGATCGAGGCCGCCGACTGACCGTCAATGGGACCACGCGAATGTGTCAGGCCCACGCATCTCGGGGCCTCTCCTGCCACCGGTTACGATATCCCCATATGAGTTCCAATTACGTTTTCGTATGTAGGTTGATTTTTTATTGAGATAACAATCAATGCGTGTCATGACGTTAACAATAAATGTGTTTTGATCATTTAATACAACATTTCGAATTTTTATAGAATTTTTTAATAAATGTCTTCTTATAATACTTCATTCTTTAAGAAAAAAAAAAAAAAGAAGCTCTACGTTAATAATAAAAAAGCAATAATGAAATAAACCTAGTAAACAGAACTAAACATGGTATATAATTATTTGTCTCTGTAAAATTGTAATTTGCATTTTGTAATTAGATAAAATAATTATTTTATTAAAAGTATATTTTTTCTAATTTTAATATTTTTATTTTGTCAAATTGAAAAATTAAATTGTTTTGTCCAAATTTTTTTATATATCACTCTTTTACTTTAAAAATAACCAAAAGATTAAATTTCCTAGAAAAGAGAAAAAGCTATTCTTTTTATTTGATTATAATAATAGGTATAATAAAAAAAATGTCATTTTTATTTCACAATTCTTAAAAAACCACCCTTTTTACAATTTTTATAAAATTGATAAGTTAGTTATAATTTTTCCCGAACAGAACAATAAGTCACAATAATGTCAAAATGACATCAAGATAAATCAGAAATAATTGAAAAATGGCTTTTAATAATCATTTTGGAGTCATTTTGATATTATAATGTCTTATTGTTCTACTTGATAATTGATTGGATAATTTACTTAATTCATTGGTAATTATTAGAAAATTACTTTAAATTATGTTATTTTTAAAATAAAAGAAGTGCAGATCTAAATTATAAATTACAATGTGACTTAATCCACTTTTATTTAAATTTGTATATTATAAGTTGTATAATCTTATTTTTCAATTAACTACAATTGAATAAATACCGAAAATTTAAATATTATAATTATTAAAAGTTCACAGTTGTAACGAAAAATATCTCAGTTAAGTTTCTTATACAGAAAATTAGCTTTTACGAATTTAATACCAATCTTATAGTATATGTATATACTTTTATACGTACATACTTTTTCATATTTTTAAAAATTTCTCTTTCTATGCAACATCGACTTTTTATTCTGCCGTACCGACGTACGTTATATGTGAATTTGTTGTATATCGTACATTTTCCTGAATTACCATCGATCGATAAGAATCGATTTTTATTTCAGCGTATGCACGTCATAAAAAAACACACTGTTCGTTTCGTGTCTAGTGTATTCTATAATTCTAGGGTATAGGAACATTATTCGTGTTTCATTGTCGTTCGTTATTACAGACAGATTGTAACTTGCATCCATAAATAATTATAAAGCAAATGCCACCACGGGTTTACTTACGCCATGATGATGAGAAACTATTTTGCTGTTTTTTCGTAAATGAGCGAAAGACGCTTGATCTACGACATTCGCAATCTTACTGAATGACGACGATCAGAAATTAGGTAAGTCAACTTCGACGGCTCGCCGAATGTCGTGAATGTAAAACGAGAATAATGAAATTAACGATCGGTGTCTGACGCGAGACGATGAGAGGTGTTCAATTTTCAGAGAAATATCATACTCGTCTTCGTTAGTGTTTATGCATCGTCGCGGATGCTCCGCGTTATCGAAACGAGCTCATTTCGCTTCTACGAGGATACGTAATGGTGTAAACGTTGCCAATACGTCTTAACCTCCTGCGTTTTGGGTGCACGATGATTAAGTAACGCGCGATCGCGGTCTATCTGTTCGGGACGAAATGCCGGATTAAAAAATTTACACACACGTATATTTATACGGCATGGTTACGAACGATTGACTCGCGGAATATTTTATCTCGTTAATTATCAGTCAATTTGGCGAAGTTAAAGAAAGTCTTAACTTTGCCCCGTTTGTGGTTCCTATGGAAATCAGTTCAGTTTAATTTAGTGGTTTTTTGGTGGTTCTTTGTAGTGGAACGGTTCTTGGAATTCTCATATTTCTTTTATAGTTGGTAAGTAGCTGGAGGATTGTTCAAATACTCCAGCAAGGTGGTAAACTGCGATTACTCTCAGCGATCTGTAAACGCTAAGATAAAACAACTTACCTTCCCTTGTATGTGAAATATTGTAACATATACATATGTAAAAATTATACTTTTATCCATGTTTTGTTATTGATATAATATATAGATAGAACACACATTCCACAATAAGCCGTTACATAAACTTTAAGTCTTAAGCAGCACAAAATTGACCAGTCACAGTCGAATGTGAGAATAATAATCGAGTATGATCAAAGTAAGAGAGGGAGTTAATTTCTTAAGCTTAAGACTTACAGCTTAGGTTTATTGTAGAAAGCTTATTAGTTATTTATATGCAGGTTTTACATTTTTTGTACTGTATTATACAATAGAATCATAAAATCTTGTTTTGAGACATTTATGAAACATAAGAGTAGAATATTGTAAAATTGGAACTGATTGACTTAATGAGTAAATGTGACATATTATAAAATTTAATCGGACTACTTCTTACCGCGTCTTCTTTCATAATTTTCATTATTTTAATTTCTTTAAAGCATTGGAATTCTTATAATTCATATTATTTTATATTTATGAAAATAATTTATGAATTTATAATGTATTCTGCTTTGTGCCATGTGTCTATTATCATGTGTGCACATGGAATATGCAAAAACTCTTAAGTTTAATATACTTCTAAAGTTAAGTATAAAATTTGTCTTTGATGCGTATGATTGTATTATATATTGGATATATATGATACACCGTAAATATTTATTTCGGTTAAATATTAGTTGTTAGCACATGCGGCAGTAATAATGGTAAGTAAGTACGGCTAATTAAAATTTCCAACTATAATAATTAACAAATTTGATACGCTACCAGAAACCGCTACTACAGGGTTGGCTACTGCAATACTGAAACTAAATTCACACAGATAGACTCGGTGATATCTGTGAGTGCTTATACTTTATTGGTGTATTATGATTTTTTTTCTAATGTGCTTCTTTGTAAAAAAGTGACCTTCGCGAATCTTGCAATTGCAATTTTGTGCCAACCTTGATGTACTATGGCCATCACTTTTTTGGCCTTATAAGATTTCGATATTTTCAGAGAATATTTCCGGTGACCGCGCCATTCACTATTACGGCTGTACCATGCAGAACTTCGATGATCTCGATATAGAGGGACGTAATCCTTCTCATTTATCAGGAGAAGCTAAAGAAAAGGTAAATAGAGGATGTGAGATGGCAACAGAAACGATTATGTAATAGCAACGATGAATTGTGCATAATTGTAGTATAATTTCGAACAAATATATCTTGTCAAATATGCAAGTCCAAAGTCCAATTCGAAATAATTGTTTTGAACATGCTGTGTTATTATGTCATATATACATTTAACGTTTCATTCTCCGCAAAACTAATATATGGACCATTGTGAATTACGGATATTTTTTTGAGACTAGCATTCGACAATGGAAGATCATCTGCCTTACGAATTGTTTATTTTTCATAGGAAGAATATGATCGGAAGCGTATAATGAGATGCAGCGTTACCGCTGAAGACGGTGCACTGAGACCCGTTTACTCCGAGACCGAAGATGGTGATATATGGTGTCATATCTGTAACGTTGCTTTATTCGGGGCCCATAAATTGATAAATCATAATTTGTGTAATCGTCACAAAATGAAACTGGACGAGTGGCCATATCCGGTTATGCTATGGTCCAAACGACCGGATGTGGCCAAGATGGTCGCGCCAGTGCAATCTACCACTATCAGCGATACCCTGGCGCCTGGTGAGCCAGTACCACCTGGTATGGAAGATCAAATAACGCGGATTACGTCGATACAAATGAGTTTAGATCGCCATCAAAGTTCGCCACTCGTCGGTCTCGAATATCTGTTGGAGTTGGTGGACAATGAGTCCTGTGAACCGAGTTACACGTGTGTTTTGTGCGACAAGCGTGGCGATCCGCGCACAGTAATGGCTCACATTACCAGTTATAATCATCGAATTACATATCTGAATAGACACTTTTCAACTATATCGCGAGCAATTGCAGAGTTACCGCGTACCCCTAACTATAAGCGCGGGGCCAATGAAATATCGGTGTTAGTGGCGAAAAAAATTGAAGAAAAGTTTGGAAGAATGAAGCCGCAATTGGTAGACAAATTTCAGTTTGAAAAGAATAAGATGCAATATATCAAGAGGGTATATCAGGACGTTCATTTTAAGTAAGTCCAAATAATCAATATTATTGTCGTTGATCTTTTTTTGTCATTTAAGTTTGTCACTTATGTTCAATATGACACCGATATTAGTAATACGATGTTTTAATTTATAACATTTGAATTTTTTATTTTACTTTATCGTATAATAAACCAATTTGACTGTTTCCTGTATGCAGGGAAACATCAGACTGTACATTTATGGATGTTTATGATGTGCAATGGGTAACCAATTTTGATGAAAAAATGGCAGAAATGAATGGTAATAATTTGAAAAAAAAAAGTGAGTATGCATTATGCAACTGTGTTTGAAACGATAATTAGATTTTTAAAATAAAATTTTTTAAATTATTGATTTCTATCAAGATTCGCCTGATAAAAATATTGAGGATAAAATTAAAAAAGAAGAGAAAAAAAAGGAAAAAGTAGAACCTAAAAAATTAGAATCTAAAGGAGAAGTTACGAAATCGTAAGTAAATAAAATAATAAAATCACAAAATATAGATATTGACAAGTGTGATATTAATAAAGAAATTTCTATAAATGTTTTGTTAATAGATTAACTCATTTCCAAATAAAAATTTAAGAACTTTTTATTAAAATTTTTTCAATAATTTAATCTGTTTTAAAATTTCATTTTTTTCCTAATTATTATTTATAAATTTATAAATTAACAGAAAAATAGTACTTTTTATTTTATCATTTTCTGTTAAAATTATAACTTTTGAATTCGAATATCTTTTAACTTTAGAATTGTTTTTATTTTAGGGGTTTTAAAATGCGTATAGTCAATAAAGAGAAAATGAATCTTCGTAAAACCTCACCGAAATCTGAGGAGAATCCAAAAAATTCACCAAAACGACCCTCGGATGACATCAAGTCGCTTTCATCACTTTCGAGCATATCTAGCAGTCCATCCCCATCCCGTTCAAGATCTCGTTCACCGAATCGAAATAAAAGAAATTCCATCGAAAAAAACACAGGAAAGTATCGTAGTCACTTGCGACAATCACGCGATCGTGTCCGTGGTAGATCGCGATCACGATCGCGATCACGGTCTTTACAGCCTCTTAGGGAACGTGACAAGTGGGACAAATACCGCGAGCAGATTAGACGCGCCGAAGAAACACTAGATCGTGCTTTAAAGTTTCACGAGAAGAATCCTGAAAAACATCCATCTTATCCAGACGAATGGAAAAAATTCTGGAATAGACGATACAAGGAACTCCAAGCCGAAGGTAACGATCCAAGCAAGCATGACTTCAAGCCAGAATGGATTGAGTTTTGGAACAAGCGGATGCGCGAAATCCACAATGAACAACTTCAGCAGCGAAAAGAAGAAATTAAAAAAAGATTGGAATTACCTGAAGACAAACCGCCGGAGAAGTGGATTCCACCGAGGCGAGAACGAGAACGAGAAAGAGAGAGAGAAAGAGAAAGAGAAAGAGAAAGAGAAAAAGAGCGGGAACGAGAACGAGAACGAGAACGTACCCCTACGAAGCGCAGTAAGCTTGCCATAGAAAGTGACGATGAAGTAGAGTACGTTGGTACGAAAACGGTGATCAAGTCTGATTATTACGAACGCCATGAAGCCAGAGACCGAGATTACACGTATCCTACGTATTCACGTGGAAGAGGGAACTTATACAGCCATTATCCATCGCGTGTTAGGCCGATATATTACGCAACACCGTATCCTGTAAAAAATGAACCGGCCACTTCATCGCCTATCGCGGAAGAGGTATTAACGGAAGATCTTGAAATAGTCGGTTTATTGCGGTTACTCACAGCTCTTGAAGGACAATTAGGTTCTCTTGGACCTAAGGTAGTATCGCTTTTGTCAAAAGCCTTAGCGGCTGAGAAAGCAAAGCCAAATTCCGCTGAAGAACTATTGTATGATGAAGAGATGAGCGTCCTATTCGAGACCGTCAAAGAAAAACTCAAGGGTCAATTGTTCGCGGGTATGGTAGAGAAAATGGCGATTACGGCCACTAAAACGGCTGTACAGAATATCGCTAAGTTGCTACACAAAGCTTCTGAGAATAAAAAGAAATTAGAAGAACAGAAAAAGAAAGATCGAGAAATTCTGGAAACTATTAAACCCGTAACAAGTTACATAAATCGACCCATATACTCAAGACCGGTAGAAATAGCTGTCCCGGTTATTAAATCTGAACCAGTGAGCGTACCAGGTGTCGGTACAGTTGATAAAGTCGCTATTGCTCAACAGATTGCCGCGGCTCTCGTTGCGCAAGGCAGATCAAATGTCTCGCAGGAAGAACTGGAAACTCTGATTAACGCTGTCGTTGGTATGGCAGAAGCATCGAAACATTCCGACAAACCAGTCACCACTGCTGATTTTGTCAAAGGTCTAACGAACAGCGACACTACCCCTCCTCAAGTAACAGAGCCTGTCAAAACGGCGGTCATTTCGGTTGAGTCTAATCAATCTCAGGTTTCGAAAACAGAACCGGACAATTTGTCAGACCTCGATCTAAAACTGAAATTGCAAAAGTTTAAAGATCTGAGCACAGAGGAACAACACAGTCTCATAAATTCTCTCAAGAAGCTTGAAGCGAGCGATCCGACGAGAGTGGAGAAGTTGAGAGACTTCGTTAATCTCGGCATGACGTCACCGTCAAAGTCATCGATAACAGGAAATATAAAATCACCATGTTTGGAGATTGAAATGTCCATTGCCAAAAGTAAAAAGAGCACTTCTCCGTTTTCCTCTCGTAAAGGAAATCAGAATCCAACAGACGATGAAGATAAGTGGAAACCTAAACTGGACATGTTCGCGAATGACGAAGACGAAGAACAACAAATGACAAAAGATAGTGATGATAAAACTAAGATCAAGACGATAGACTTGTCCGACGATGATGACGACTATACATACGAAGATATCTACAAAGCAGCGAGCAAGAATGTGAGCGAGAACGAAAAAGCGAAGAAATCGCGTACTTTTTCATCGAAATCGTGGTCTCGATCGCGATCGCGATCGCGGTCACGATCAATGTCGAGAGTGAGATCGCGATCAAAATCACCAATATCGAGATCAAAGGAAATTACAAAAACAAATGATCCCAACGCGATACTAAATGAAACTAAACGTCTGATTGCAAACATTATGTGCGACTTACCGAACAAATACGTTCCGAAATCGTTGAGTCTGGGCGAGAAAAAACCCGAGCTCAAAGTAGGTTCCAATGAGCCAGCACCGCCTGGTGCAATGCCCTTTTACAATCAAAATTTTCTTTCAAATAATAATCAATCACGGTCGCAAGAACAGCCGATGACCTATCCTAACTTGTCGAATCAACAATTCTCAAATTATCCACCACAGCCACAAATGTTTCCTAATAATCCCGGACCTGGATATATGGACAATAGTTACAATTATCAAGGTTATGGAAATCCAGTTAATCAAAGTCAATTTGGGGGACCGTCAAATCAGTACCCTCAGCAAACAGCTTACGGTTCTTACGGTGCACAACAAACTGCGCCTCCGTCAAACTATATTCAACCTTCGTCTCAGCAATACGATCATTACATGCAGCAACAGCGGTTTTATTGAACGAAATGTTCTCTGTTATCAATAATTTCTTTAATGAACATTCGCATTGCGGATTATTATGTCTGCAGGATTAGGTCAGTTCTGTGAACTCGAATGAAGTCCCAAGACTCGTTCTCTTTCCACGCACAGATACTAAACTGTCTAAGTTCTGTACTCGTTTTTATTCGTGCTTCATATATTTTTAATGAAGTTAATCAGATTCTATTTCATAATTAGCCAACAATAGATGCACATCACTTTCGTTTTAGTTTGCAGAAATACTTCCATAATGTTGATCAGAAAAAGTTGTACTTATAAAATTGTGATTATAGTGAGATATATATGTTCCACCTTATTATCCGCATATCTCCATTTTTATTTATTTGTACAAATGCAACATCTATATATTCACACATCAAAATAAGTAAAAAAAAATCATATCGTCATATTGACATTTTTAAATGAAATAGAATCTTGTTTCACGCGCACGACGTATAACTCGCAAGAATGTGTCAATTGTATGTTAAATATGTAATGTCTGAAATATTTGGTTTTTTTATCCGTTGAGCGCATTTTTATCCGCAATTTGCATTACGTTTTCGCATTGAATTTTCATGTATCTGCTGTGCGGGTGCGTGTCAGTGAGATTTATTAAACTGTGTATATTGACCGAATGTATCGCGTTGTAGTGAGCATTGTACATGCACGAAGTGAATGTGTGTCGTTGTTACATACATCGTGCAACTTCGACCAAACAAAAGTAAGTAAAATAAAGACTAATCGCTAGAGCGTGTGCATCGTTACAACATAGTTTTACTATATTTGTAATATATCTGATAAAAATCGCACCCTCTGCTTTTGTTGCATAGAAAATGCGACAATACTTAACAAGACAGTTCATAATAAAATTGTGTAAAAGACGCTTTAGATTGTAGAAATTTTTGCACGATATCCAGGATTTAACATTTACTACAATATAATCAATGTAATTCTTCAATAAATATATCACAAGAGTAGCACATTAGTAGTGTGTAATATATTTTCCATTAATTTTTAAAGTAATATGAACTTTAACGACTTATCCTATGTTTCTATGAAGACAAAAAAATTGATTTAAAAGCATAATCGACTAACAAAAAATGAAATTAACAAGACAAATAAAAATAGTATCTCTTATCAAATATAATCGTTTTTTTTCTAAATAATCCCTACAATATACAGAAATCAGGAAAAATATTTGAATTAGAAAGAAATTTTAGGAGCTATTTTATACTGTATTATTACAACAGTTACATGCTCGACGTAGCGATATCATATGTTTACGCATTGCACAATGACTAGAGAATTGCAGAATTATTCCGTTCTTTGTCCGCATATGTTCAGGTAACCGCAAGGATTTAAATACAGCACAAGATGCGGTTCATACAATATATACACTCCCCTTTACAAAATGAAAAAAAGAAGCGCGCCGATCGGGGTTTTAACAACTTCATTTACTTCGGTACGAGGCCTCTGGTTTTAGGGTAAACCGGTGCCGGAATTTGCTGCATCTTGGTGACGCTCTTCGGTCTGACTCGCGCCGACTGTAAACGCGTCTTGGATCTCAGCCTCGTGCTCGAAGCGTCAACATCTATGTCGCCCTCGTCACGCAGAGCTTCTTCCAAAACGGCTTGAATCGTCGGCGCAATCGCGGGTCCCTGATAATCCAAAGTTGTCCGTGCCGGCATGTCGAGATCCAAGTTCAGAATGTTCTCACCCGCATAACGGCATCCTCGTCCCATCGCGAGAGCGATCCGCGCGTACTCCGAGATTGGTCTACGCGCACCTGGTACGGAAGTTGGTCGTTTGATGGCATCTATACTCGATGGCTCGGGATCTTTCACGACCCAGCAGTCCTCTTCTTCATCCAGATGGATTCTTGATAAAATCTTCGTCTTTTCTTCTTCGGGAATAAAGTTCTCTATTATGAGGTACTTGAGTTTGAGCTCCTTCATCAATTCGTGCTGTTCCTGCTCCAAATCTCGTCTGTCCCTATTATAGTCGCTGGTCACGTCCTCTAATTCCTGCTTCAGAGCTTGCAACTTGGTGAAGCACTTTCGTAATTTTCTGGATTTCACATCCACTTCTTGCTGCAACGTGGTGTAGGTCTCCCTCACGCCGACCATTGTCAACTCTTCGTCTTCCAACTTCTGTTGCATTTCGACCTCGCGTCTCTTACGTTCCGCAATTTCAGCCGCCTTTTGTTCTAATGTCCTTTGCTGTTCGTTTGTGTGATCGATTATATTCTTACCGCCGCAGAGCATCTTGCTCTCCAAATCCTTTATTCTCTGGACGAGATTCTCGGTCTCCTGCTTCTCGGCCTTCAACTGCTCCGCTATGAGCTTTTTATCGGTTTCGGACAATTTATTGTCCTCGCCTCGACTGTCGTCCGCCTCGGATTCCGAATCGTTTGTTTCATCTTCCTTTTTCCTCTTCGATTTCTTCTTTTTTCGTTGCACCACACCTTTCAGCGCGAGTTTCTCCTTCAGTCGACCTATCTCCTCCTGATATTGCCTCAATAAAGCATCCTTCGGATCCTCATTAATTCTAGGCTTGTTCTTGATATTCTTAGCACGGCTAGCGTATCGTAGAGTCGTCAAAGTCTCGTCATAATTGTAACTAGCTGGTCCAATATTCGCTACCATGATCGTCTTCGAATTACCACCTAAAGAATCCTGCAGCAATCTCGTCAGCTTAGAGTCTCGATATGGCACATGCGTGGTTTTACCGTCCACCAACGCCGAGATTACGTTACCCAAGGCCGACAAACTCAAATTAATCTTACTCGCTTCCTTTAGTCTCTCTCCCGACGAACCAGTTTTGCTTTGTCTCTCACTGCCAGCGAGATCGACTAAATTCAAGCGTCCTACTCTAATACCACCGGTGTCATCGATATTACCCATCTCAATAGTGATGAGAAAGATCGCATGTGATCGCGAACTGTGCTCGTTCATGTTCGTTGCACCGATCGTTCTGTTTTGATTGCCTATGTTCATTAAGTGCTGTATCTCCGCCGCGCTCTTACAAACGGCGGTCGATAGGTCCTTAACATACACCCCAACGTCCGGCTTCTCCTTCAGCTCGAAGCGCAGACTCTGATCCGGATGCAGCAAATCGCGTATCTCCTCTTGATAAATCTCTAGATAGCTGGCCCTCACCAGATACTGCATGTTCTCCGATCTGCCGATGTGATTGAATATGTGCTCAAAGGAGCGCGGGATGATACCGCGCTTCTCATGATCCGTCTTCGAGCCCTCCATGGTGTACGTCTTCCCGGTGCCGGTCTGACCATAGGCGAAGATAGTGCCGTTGAAGCCGTCAAGTATCGAGGATACCAGGGGCCTAACCGTCTCCTCGTATAGCTCCTGTTGGCTGGAATTAAAGTCGTACACCGCGTCGAAGGTAAACACTTTGACAGTCTCGCTAGACGGATCGTCGCGTGGATGCCGCACCTCAACCGCACCTCTGGACGGGATCACGTCGACCACGCGAGTGTAATTGCGTGAGACCTCCCGCTCGTCCATCGGTCGGCATCGCACGACCACCTGCACGCATTGCGTCACCACTTCGGTAACGCTCGACTTCATACTTTTCTTCTTCCAGGTTTTCTGCTGGTTGTCTAATTTTTCCATACCGACGGTGAAATACACAGCTGTCCTCTGCAAAATACGGATTTATTGATCATGCTTCATCCTGACTAAATCTGTTTGCTTTAATTAACTCTCTGACTAACAATTGATATTTTTAAGAAAGTAATATTTTCTTTTTTTAAATAAACTATTTTTTTTTTTGCACAACTGAAGTCGATACCTATACATATCAATTTTCTTAAAATCTTGATATTCTTACCTTGTAAATACTTAGATAATATTTCAATAACCATGCTATCGTATTAATTGCACTATTATCATTATACTTATTGATCATGTGTTTCTTAGAAAAGAATGAAGTTTATATTTAAAAGAAATATTTGTGTTTGAATACTAAATTGTCTCTATAGATAAAAATTTGAATATATATAATTTCAAACTAAAAGTTTCATTTCGCAATTGATATATTCACATGTTAATAGGATTTTATAATTTTATTGAAAGATTCTCTAAATTAGCAGTTTACATAAACTTTTTAAACCAATTATAATAAAAATAAACTTCTTTTTTACTATAACAGTCTTTTCAACGTTTTTTATAATTTCATAAGTTAAATCGCAATATAAGTAAACATCTAAATTGTACACCTTATTCTTCAATCAATCCACCGTGGCCTATGATTAGTATTACTTTCGTGAATATTTCAACGTCATGCTCACTCGACATTCCGAATCAATAAAACTTGGCACAAAAATGCTTCATGAAAGTCGTATACTACGTAATATTAATCATACATTACGTCATAAAATTTGAATTATTTTTTTATTTACATTTAATTACTTGATTACTAATGCTTATACAATATTTTTTAAATTTTTGTTATATAATATTACTTTTAGAGTTTCTTTTTGTATAAAAGAAAGTGCAAGTGCAATTTTTACGTTCTGTCGATTGAAAATAGATTGTAAAGCCTCGATATCGTCTATAGTTGTACAAAGCGTATATCAACCATTTTCCAATTACATTTTAAAAGCGTTCAACTGCCATTGGAAATAATATTGAAACAGAATGTATCAATTTTTTAAAATTTAAAACAAATTGTCATTGCAAGCAAAAAAGACTGGATAGCATTTTGTATTAAATAATCAGATATTCATTTTAATCTCTATTTAAATTATTATCCACTATGAAATACTTTGTCTATAAAATTATATATATACATATAATTGTTATTCTATTCTTTGACAAATTATTTGAACACAACTTTATAGAAAATATTTATGTAATAAAAAAAATTACGTATCAAATATTTATTAATACCATATCTGGTATTCATTTTCCAATATCTTATCAATTGAGAACTTGCAGCAACGTAAAGAACTAATTTATAAAATTTATAACTATCCTTTTTTTATGTGAGCTATATTAAGATGCAAGGTCTGTCAATAATTTAACACAGCTTTATAGACTATTTCTGCAAGGAAAAAAATATACATATTAAATTTGACATATTTATTTTTCAATTTTTCGTCGATCAAGAACTTGCAATAACGCATTTGAAAATAAAACAATCATGGAACCTTCTTTTTTTATGCACTGTGCCAAGTACAAAGCCTGTCAATAATGGTCAATAACTTTAAGATACTTTTATAGAATATTTTCAACGAGAAAGAAAGTAAAAACATAAGATATTAAATTTGATATTTATTAAGAAAAAATATATTTATCGTTATCTTTCAATGACGTCTCGTCAATCGAGGGCTTATTATGGGATTACAAAAAATTAGGAAACTTTAAAACAAACCACAAAAAAATAATTTATCGACATCATCTTTTTTTTCTGCGCTATACTTAAGACGCAAAAACGGTCGAATTCACAGCACTTACCGTACCGTTAAGGGGTTAAATATACAAAATGCACATGCACGTCACGTAATGTCAAGGGGAAAGAAGCGACGAGCAGAAATTCTCCGAAGGTCTACTTATGCGTCCTGCGACCTGAAGAAATTGCGCACGGTGGACTGCAAAGAATCTCGTTTGCGTTGATTTATTACCGTTTTTACGTGTCGCCCTTCACTGCGAGGTGTTGGTATTGATCCATTATTTAGCGAAAGAATTTGTTGTCAACGGGTCGCCGTCGTTCTTGCCTGCATGTATTGATTCTCGCGCACAGCGCGCGACAGGGGAGTATCGCGAATCGAGAAGCGCCGGCACGCCGATATGCGCAATTCTTCACTTTACGGCACTCGCACTGCGCGAAAGTGATCACATGCTTCTGACAATTCCGACGGGAAAGATGATAAAACGCATCAGCGTCAAACGTGCACGAGTATAAATCCCTCGTCGCTGTGCGACGCCGGGATAATCGGCTGTCGCCGCTGTCGGCTACACGGCTAGTGCTAGTAGTGCTTGGTCTTGAAATCGATATCTCGTCCCCGTCATCGAACGAGACGAAACGAGGAAGGAAAGTCGAGTCTGGCTCGCCGAACGAACTCTACTTTACCAACTCAGTATTGTCCTCGCGCGTGCGATCCTCGGGATCGAATCCTAAAATCATCTGTTTTACCGATAATTATTTATCTATTAAATATATTTTTCTAACTAGTCTTTTTTCATACTACAGATTGAAAAATCCTTCTCCACAATTAAAATATATAAGCGATAATGTGGTCCAAACTGGTCAACTTTATGTCTAAAAAGAAAAAAGTTGGGAAATTACAGTCTTGTCATCGGCTTCTGATGTCAACTCTCTCTCTCTCTCGTAACATTTGCTTTATATACAAGTTTTATACTTTGTAGGTATAAAACAACTTGGTTTGGACTAGACATGAACAATGTATGTGTTCTTAATAAAATTATAAACTTAGATACCTAATAAAAAAATTAATTAGTACGAAAATTTGTACGCATGTGTGATGTAAAACAGCGATATTGATGTAATAGTCAAATAGCGATACTTATGTCAATAGATACGTTCCGTTTCGCACATGATGCATCAATTGTCCTTGTTTAACATTTGATGAGCAACAAAGATAAACGGAAAGATCCATTGAAATTGACCAATCGCATTTGTTGACAACAGATGCAATTGGCCAATTCTAATGGACTAAACCGTCGATTAAAATTACATAATTCGAATTGGTCAAAGTGGCTCTTGATTGGGTCTAATTTTACAACTCGGATCATGGGTTTAATTTATCCGTTATCTCTTTCTAATGCTAGAATTGAAAAGAGATGAGAAATAAATCGAACTTACGTTAAGAGTTAACTGTGAGTTGTCAAATTGGGTCTTAGCTGTAAAAATTATATCAAAATAAAAATTCCAAAGCATCGTATTGTAAATTATATTATATTTCACACGATTTTATATACAAATTTATATTATATAAAAATGTAATGTATGTAATAATTTATAAAAATAATTTTTCATCATGAAGCGTATTTTCACCATGTAAAACGTGAGCAATATGTAACAAATAAAATTTTAAGAAAATATAATTTTTTCGTTTTTTCAATTGTGTTCAAATGGAAAAATAATTTTTCCTACTATTACAAAAATTTATAAAAATTATCTGAATATAGCCTCTTATATTATATATTTTTTCTTAGTCTACATTTACTCTAAAGATCGATTATAATTTCCCTCCTTCTTTCAGCGAATCGGTATGTTTCCTGAACATAGCCAATCTTTCGTTTTAAGGAAGTGACGTCAGACACACGGAATCGGAGACTTGTAGTGACTTTCATGCCATAGAGCGAATGGAAGTGATGTGGATCATCTATCACCTTTCGACGAAGAAATCGTTATCGTAGTGTCTGCTAATTAATTGGACACCGTTCCAAATTGAGATTGATGACGAGAAATTGAAATTTTTATACATAAAAATCTACATCCACACTGGTGAGACATATCACGTTAGAATTTTATGACACGATAGGTTAATCGCGTTAAATTTAGCCACTGGCTGCATTTCAATTTATGGCATTTCATGTTCGCAAAACACTATACATACTTGATTAATGTATGAAACAAAAATTTTGTCCGTCAAAGAAGAAAATAATAATTAATTTTTCTTTAAATGTACAAGTTGACAATCAGAAGATTACTCTGAAAAATAAATAACTTTATCTTGTGATGAGTGGACAAATCGAAATGAATTGAATACTATTCTATAGAAGAAATCTGTCATGATTTTAACAGAATATATGTTAAAAAATAAAAATTATAAAGAGCTAATAATTATTTGTATTATTGTGTGGTTTATTGATGTTTTGAATCATGTAAATTTAATTAAAAAGCTTTTTAAAATTAAATATATTTTCTAACATTAATAACTGTAAATTGTGTTTTTTTAAATTTTCAGATAAATTCCTTTTATTGAAATGGCCATTTAAGTTGAGATCTAAGCATACATATTGAGTCAGCAAAATCACCTAAATTTTTAGCTTTTAAATATTTATTTTTACAAGTATATAAATATATATTTTTTATATGCTAATAAAAATAACAGATTTTCTCTGCAGAGTAATGTTTAATTTATTTCATTCTATTTTTATTGCAAAATATCAGTTGTATAATTTTGGAAACTTTTTGATTATTATTCTGTATATATGTTGCTTTAATATATTTTTAATAAATATATTATCTTACTGTAAATCAAGATTAATTAAAAATAATTCAATAAAAATTATAGAGACAATAACTAATCTTAATTATTAGTATTCTTAGGCTTGTTCTACAATATGCATTTTGTTTCCTGTTTCTTGCGTTTTTACTGTTTTTTACATCTTGTCTGTTTGCTTCTTATTTCGTTTTTTGTTTTCTATCGCTTGAGACAAAAGTTAATGAAGAAACAAGAAATTCATGGTAAGAAATATAATTGTCAATAAAAGTTGTCAATAAAAGCTGGTTGTAAAGAGGAAAGAAAATAAGAAATGAAAAGCAAGAAATAGGAAAAAAAGGCTTTAGTTTTGTCAGTTTGTTTACAAATACTACTATATCAGAATTTTTTTTAGAAAGAAAATTTTAATATATATATTCTTAAAATTTATTTGTTGTTATACAATAATAGTATATTTATGTATTATTTACAGTATCGCGCGCTTGGCTTTGCGCCGAGGCACTACTGTGTCTCCAGATATACTTTCATAATTAACAATATTGCTCTGCATATTAATATAGACTAAATATTGAAAAAAATTAGAGATAAGAGATTAATAAAAAAAATAATTACTTGAGCTAAGAATTACATATGTTTATATGTAATAGCAAACTTATTTGAACTACAATTATAAAGCAAATGTAAGTTACATTTTTTTTTTATTGCTTACTGTTTTAGGTAACATGAAATTGTGGATCGTGATAGCACACATCGCATTGGTTGTTACTAATTTATGGGTTACAGCTCATTTTCAAGAAGAAATACCAGAGGATAATGAGTTTGCAGAATTTGAAGATTTTGAAGAGGAAAAGCCAAGTGTACTTATTGAACATGCATCAGAATTGCCTCCAGAAGAAGTATTAAATCAAGATTTTGAGGAAGATGACATCTTAGTTACAGATGGTGATACTGAATTTGATCATTTCCAAGATGAAGAGGAATTTGAAGGACTGGATGTTGCCCCGGGCAATACTGGTCAAAAAAACGATGAACCTTCCACATTGACTATTACAAAAGTCCCATTCCATTTGCGGGATAGATGGGACAGTTATTATTTAGAAATATTAATGATCCTTGGATTAGTGGTATATTTCGCAAATTTTATAGTAGGACGTAACAAAAATTTCCATATAGTTGAGCAATGGGTAGTAGATCATAAGCAGCTTTTGATGGATAATTTTTCTCTCATCGGCCATTCATCGAGCAAATCGAATGAGAATGCAGGTGATGATGATTTCATGAGACAAAGTGAATCGCAGTTCAGTTTGTATTGTTCTGGCCGTGTCGGCTGTGAGTCGATGCTTATAGAATTGAAATTAATAAAGAGACAAGACTTAGTTGCTGTATTAGCTCAATTGGTGCGCCCGCAAAACGATCAAATTCACATAGAAGTGGAGCTTTCGAAAGACGAAATAGATAATTTCGTTTTAGCAATTGCCACAAAGCGGATAGCAATGCATTTAGTGCGCGACATGGCTGATATTAGCGTATATTGCCCAGAGAAACGATCTGGTGAAAAATTCGGTCTTCCATCAGGCTTTTACGTAATGTCTGAGATTCCAGAAGCAACGGTAGCTATCTTAGACACCAGAATTCAGCAAATTTTTACAAAGTATGCGCCTTATATAGAGTATATTCACATTAGTGATCAATTCAGTGGGCGTAAACCTCAGGAGTAAGTAAAAATAAACTGTGCGTATCATATAATGATTCGAATAAATAAAATATAATATAGAAAATGCATATATTTTAGAATAAATAGTTAATTTGATGTCGATAATATTTCCAATACTAATGTTCAGTTTAATTATAGAGATACTACTCAGTTAACAATGCCTGAGGTTAAAAGAATATTGTTGATGAGTTTGAATATAAGTCTTAAGGGTCGCACGAGTAATCCAGAGACTCACGAAAAATTTAGACCTTTACTTCAACTTGTTTTCTATTTAATTGATAAGTTGCGACGTTTTAAGTTATCTAAAGAGGTTTGTATTTCTTTACTTTAGTGAATATACATCTTTATAAACAACTATTGTAATTTATATTATAAATTTTATTATGTATGTAGGGTAAAAATAAAGCTGATAAAAATCGGCTGAGAGTGGAAGAAGCCTTCCTGAAAACAACGCACGCCGCAAGAGCCGAAGCTGCTGCTCAAAGACGAGAAGAGCGTCGAAGAGTCGAGCATGAAAAAATTCTCCAAGAAGAGGATCCCGATAAACAACGGAAGTGGGAGGAAAAGGAACAACGAAGATTGGCCAAAAAACGTGCTCCAAGAACGAAGCAACTTAAGGTGAAAGCATTGTGACATAATTAACAAGTGAGATGTACATTTTAAAAAACAAATCTGCTACTCTCTCCATATTTAAAAAGGAAAATTCGTAAGTAATTCAGTGGAATTGTATTTCGTCCAGATTATCTACGAAATATGCTAACTTATGTCTTCATTGAGATTTATATATTCATTCAGTGTTCTCTCACATTAAGTATCGAACTTATTAAAGAAAGTACAAACGACTGAAAAAATGTATCCTGTGAATTGTAAATTGTTGTGTAACATTTATTTTTTTTACCCTATTGCCAGCTTACTAAATATTATAGATATATAATAGCTGCGTTCAGTTTTGCAAATCGGAGGTATCCGTTTGCTCTTTCACCTCGAAATCATTCAGCAATTCGCACTTTTCTGCTGCGTGTTATCCCATCTGCGTTCGGCATTAACATTTTTAGAGCCAATCGAGCTCCTTGATTCACTCTGGATTCAAAGACCGAGCTTGTACAGTTAATGTAAGTTTTTGCGCCTAAATTAGTACGTACACATCTATGCGCATCACCCTGTACTTGATTTCGTATGACTCCCGGTCTTCCGTATCTGATCGTCTGGCATCCATTAACATCACTGGATTAACACACACATAACATACATCTCTTTTAATAGTTCTATTTTACAAATAGTATATTTAAACTATTATTATGTCTGAGTTTACAAACGTTATTAAAATAATGAAAATTGATGGAGTACATTATATATTTAACACCAAATAATAATCATTAATTGTTTTTCTAATGAAAGCGGCATCTGTCCAACATTATTATGATTCTCCATAGTGCTGTGAATTTTTGTAAACAGGTCTTCGAAAGTATCTGAATATTATTCAGAAGTGCATTTGAAATGTTTTATTTGAGAATTAAGGAACAATTTCTCCTGCGTATTGAGAAACTTTAGAAATATTTGAATTTTTAGTTTCATCATCACTGTCGTCAAAAAATATTTCTCTCGAGCAAAATTAATAATTATATGAATCATTTTTTCATCCATTTTTTGTTTGGTAAATCTCAAGTTTAGTCTTTATCACTTCCAATTCTGATAAAAGTATGGGCTTATTCAAAATGTTTGCTGTAATAATGTAATAAAATAATAATATAAAACATACTCTATCTTAATTAAACATAGATGAAGGACGATTAGAGTTAAATCATAAAATAAAAACAATAAAGCGGTTATAACATTAAGTATGTAATAAATTTTAAAGAAAAATACATCGAACACTAAACTTAAAATTAAAACAATATATTTTACCGCTTAAATTTTAATGAAAAATTGAAATTACACTACGCTACGCAAACTCTATCTTAATTGAAAAAAATCTTTTGCCTTATTAAAAACTGATGAGTTTTATATACCAAAAGTAGATTATACACGAATAAAACAGGTCCCTACACAAGACGTATCTTCCGAAAAGAAATATTTAATATAATTTATAAATTTCAAATTGCTAAAATTTAAATTTATTTTATAAGTGATATTTTCTTTTAAGAAAATACATCTTGCGTACGAGTGTGCTGTCTTCGTATAACGATTTTTAGTATATTCATCAGTTTTCAATAAAACGAAAGATTTGTCAATTAATGGGATATTTTTTATTTATTATATTTCATTTAAAAAATGTACAATTTTTTATAACCTAACCTTAAATAATAATTTATTTACTTATTACAGCTCAATATCATTCGGCATTAATTCTCGGTACTCGGATTGTTCGAAGATTACGTGATCAAGCTCGCCATCTGCTAGTTCACATCTCAGATTTATATTGCCAAACGCATCTGATATTCCCTTTTGAAAGAAAAGAATAATAAAATTTAACGTATACTGTATATTCATATATAATATTATCATATCTTTCTTTTAATGCTTTACATCAACGAACTAATATTCATTTTATAGCATTTGTACAAAACAGAATTTGTGTTCAAGAGATTCGTACTAATATTCTAAAAACTTTCTTTTTCTCACATTTGAGGTATCATTAGTTTAGTTATAAGTAATTTAAATTATCACTACATCCAATAGCATATAACACAATTATTTGGATGTGTTTAATATATTTTATATTACTACATATCTCTTCCATCATATAAATAAAAGTATAAAAATCATAAAGCATGTAAAATGCAAAATAAAAATATATTATTTATTGTACATAATAATAATAATAATAATAAGCGTCTGTTTTCCGAGCAATGTGCCATACTGTACTTAGCATATATATATATAGCTTATTCACTGTGCTACTTATTCACTATTCAGTTTTGGTCTTTATAGTGAGTAAGAAACACTGATATTCTCTTCTAAAGTTAAACAGTTTTGTATTTAAAAATGATATCTTTTTCACTAAAATGGATGAAAATATTTTGATCTACAGTTTTGCTATATTATATGTTATTTATATTTTAAAGTAGAAGAAGAAAATTAAATTAACTGTGCAAAAGTTTTGTATTACTCTGAATAACCGTTTTGGAAAAAATAAAATTGCTATCCGACACAAAATCCGCTATGACTATGTTAAGTCCACCACGGCCAGGATATTTCTGATTTATCCAGGAAAGAATTGTTCTTTGGCAGCCAGACACTAGATCTCTTTGCAGAGTACCACACAAATGTTTCATGACGTAGGGTATATCCGGCGTCAGGAGGCATTGCGATATGAATGCAATGTCCAACGATCTGCTTTGTAGTTCAATATTCAAAAATTCAATCAATTCGTCCGCACGGACAGTATTGGGCCACACGGTACGCCAGAGACCGGATGGCCATAAATTCGCGTAATTGCGCGCATAAACGTTCCTGTAAATTACGAACACCTGGTATCTCTTTAAGACTAGCCATTGCAGCGTTAGGTGATCGAATCTGGATGAGACTGGACATAATTTTCCACGGAAGATTTGAGTTATTTTGTCTACGAGACGGTGATGATCCTGTTCCTTGAAGTCATAGAAATGCTGAAAATCCAAGATAATGACCTCGCTCGCATGTGAGCTAAGCCAGTCGATCACGTCGAGAAGTGGCTTGCTGATTTCCGCACCATACAGTCCGTGAAGGAAGTATATATTATTAGTTCCCCGCTTCGTGGCCACGCGCAGATCTAAATATCGGATTCCGCCATTGAGCTGTTGCTTGATATCATCGTGTTGTGTAACAGACCAATTATAAATAATGGGCTTGGCAACGAACGAACAGTAGCGGCTGAGCGTTCGAATGAAGGCAGATTCGTCTGGCCCCACATCGTTGCGTCTCTCGACCGTATAAGTCATTGTATCATGAGAACCTGGAGAAGTTATCAGTTTGTATGAGTACTCTGTATACTTATATAGATAATTAATTAAAAACTAAGTTCCATTTACATAAATATATTTCTGAAAATAATGCAAAAAGCAAGGAACTTGAGTCAATATACTTGTAAATGAATATAAATTAAGAAATTCTCTTATTTTTTTTTCGAGGTCAATCAAGTCAAGATATGTTTCATTGTTTATAAATATAAATCGTATAATATTGAAACTATTATCTTTCGTATAAAAATTTCAATTTTTGGTAAGCACGAATATAAGTGCGCATCAAGAGAGCACAGTGATTTAAACGTACCGGGTATAGCCAGATGTATTATGGGTATATTTTTGAGTGGCGCCGGAAACCGAGTCATCCAAAACTCCAGATCGTCGTTCAAAACTGCGGCTGGCAATCCTGCGAGGTTCTCTCCCTTTCCTTTACCTTCCATGATGTTCAAATTTCCAACAATCGCGTATTACAGCTCTTATTGGAGGTGTATAAACACAAGGAAATCCATTGTTGACTCGCAACGGAGTCACGAAGGTGCGGGTAGTGAGACCACGAGTGTCGACTTGCGTGTGATGCAAATGACGCACTGGCTTGTACAATGTTGATGATTTATAGGTACTTATGTTCTTTCCCACGATGACTCCAAACCTGACTATACTATATAGCTAGTGTACACTCATCCAGCGTAACCTCGTTCCATGCATCACAATACACGTGCAGCACTTGCTACGTACATCAGCTGCAATCGTATTTCGACAAAAGAACTAAATTTTTTTTTTGTTTTCTTACACACATTTAACTGCTTTTACAATTTCCGCATGGTAATGTAAACAATGGAAACTTGACGAGATTTCTGGCGAGACAGCTCGAGTCCTTCAAAGAAATAAACGCTACACGCGCTCTCTGTTCGGCGCATACGCGTATTTTCTTTCACGTTATCAATTTTGAATGTACCGCGAGATACATATGGAAATTTTTGTCAAAACTGAGCTGCCTTTCTGCATACCAATATTAATTTAAAGTTAACTTTCTTCTGCGTGTTTTAGAGAACCAGGAATCTTACTCCAAAGATTCATGTTCAGTTTTCACCATCTAAAATTATAATTAAAAAAAAATATTTTTAAGAAGCTATTCATATATGACATATATTAATTAAAACAGCAAACATTATTCTGCTGTTATCTTTAGAAGTAGATTTCTAAGCATCTATTTTAACATTTTAACATAGTATATAAATATATAAATATTAAATATACAGAATAATAAAACACAAACATAAGTATAATATGTGTGTGTATTATATCTGCAACTTAATTTAACAAATATATCAAGAGATAACGAGTTTTTAAGAACATAAATGATAGTGTAACATGGTGAATCATTAATTGCTTTATAATATTAATGAAAATACAATAATTCACTGTGGATGCCTGTCATTCAGTGAAACAAGTCGACACAAATGTTATTCTGTCTTTCTTTGTATTCCATGAGTAACAAAGATAGAACAATATATATTGTGCCAACTTGTGTCTCTAAATGGAAAGCACTCTGTGTTACACTGTGAGTCTGTTTTTTGAGGCTGAAGTAGTGTACACTTTTGAAACTTAAAACAAGATATGATTAATATTTGACGAAAACGAGAATAACATTCTAGTATATAGTCTAGTGTAGGAATGAGAAACAGACCTGTATGATCTGTGACTCTTGCTAATGTTGCTCATATTAATTTGTCAAAATTTTCTAACATTACAATTACTTAATGAAAATCGTATCAAGAAATACTGAAGTCAAGTGAAACTATTCCAACTGCGTCATCTATGTCTTTTTATTTACGTCGCATTATATTGTATTATTACGTGGCATATCTTACCTGTGAATCATCATCTTCGATTACATCGGAAATGTTATGCTTCTCGAGTATATTCTGCAACGAATAAATAATCTTCTGTTTTTGATCAGCGCAACATGAAGTACAAACATCGCTCGTACAGACATGTTCTTGTAACTGAAAATAATTGTTTTTTTTTTTTATATCATATGTATTATAAGAAAGATATAAATGTCTTAAATTGCATGTATATTTACATACATTTGTGACGTATGCTCGTATCTAAATCTTTATACTTCTACTCACTGAGCTTACAACATAAAAATTATAATTATAACAAAATCAAAAAGAAACCAAGATCTTTGTGGTGGTTTTTCTTCGAGAACCCATGATCCAAGATTTGACATGGGTTGTAAATGTGCTGTTAAAAAAAAAAGCCTCTGTATGATACCTCTAATGCTTCCAGGATACTTTGTTTGGCTTCGTTCAGGATCTTGTTCAATTCATTGGATTCCTCGCACTTCTTTCGCACTTCCATCAGGACTTCTTCTCGGGCCTGTTTGGTCTCCTGCAAACGTCGCTCGAGGACCTTCACTTTCTCTTCCGACTCCACGCATCTTGCCTTGTATTCGCTGATTATTTGCTCGTAATTGCCGAGCCTCATATTCTCACGTCGCAGTCGACCGTGTTCGAGGACAGTGTCCACGTACCCCTGAGCAAGCTCATGCATCACATGTCTGTACTTTAATGCATCTTCCTGCGCTATTTTGGCTTCGTCTTCGAGTAATTCGCATTGCAATTTGAGCGCACGATCAGTTTCTTTGCATTCCGCGCTCTTCGTTTCCAGATCCTGGCAAACCTTTAACATCGAATTCAGCTCGTGATTCAACGCGATGTTTCTTCTGACTGCATTATGCATCATGTCCGCTATGCGAATATTCGTCGCTTCTTTGAATTCCTGAGCGAGCTGTCTTAATCGTTCCTCCATTTCTTTTTGCATTCTACAATACATGGAATTGTTTGGTATTAATATATATTAAACGATACTAATACATTATCTAATATAAAAAAAGTTAAATAACTTGATTTTTTTTTTAAATTATCTCCAAGGTATGTGAATTTTGAAGAATAAAGATATTAAGATAAAATTGCGTAACTTCTGAAAATCATTGTTACTCAAACCTGACATTTGCAGTAATGAAAAGCTATTGATTAATTTGTTTACTTAGCCTTAGCAACAATGACTGATTTCTCAGTTTCATAGAGCGTTGTTTTGTGCAATTCATCTTGTTTCGCCATTTCTTCCTCTTGTACCTCAAACTTGCGCATTAAATCCAAGCGAGCTAATCTCCAATCTTCCAACGCATTTAGCTTTCCAGCTGATGTAAAGTAACAGAACATGCAATTTTTCATACTGCCTTTTTTCTGTTCTTTATGATAATTTTGTATTACCTGCAAGTTTTACTTCAGCGCTCAAATTACTTTCCATAGTACGGTACTCTTGTTCCTTCGCATTTTCCTTCTTTTTATACTCTGCTTGCTCCTGCTTTCTTAATTCTTCCATGGCTAATAAACGTTCGTTCAGTTCGCGAGCCTCTTCTATTTTTCCCTCCAAGTCCCGTTTTAAATGCGCCACGACGTCAGATCGATCCTCTTTTAATTGCTCATACTTCTTCGTCAAATTCTTTACCTCGATTTCAAGCTCATCATTTCGACTGCGTAGCCTTAAAATATCGGGAGAAACATATCATTAAACGCAAGTCAGAAAGAAAGAAGAACCGAAGTGTCAGCCTCGATCTTAATGAACAAACCGTGACAGTTGTCTATTGTTGTCTAGAATTTGTTGTTCGTAAGATAGCGTTTCTCGTTCGTTTAAACACTTCTTCCGTACTTTCTTCTCTTTGTCACCTCCACGTTTCTTCTTTTTGAACATCTTTTTCTTTTTACATGCTACTTAAGCGTTATTATCTGCGCATGAAACCTGTATGCTTTAAAATTTTTTGTTGATGGAATCAAAATTTATGAAAGTCAAGATTTTTACATCTGATTGAAATTACTGCATTGTCTCCACTTGTTCACTACACAACATCAAATATCGATGTAACTTTTGATTTAGCGTATTTCCGCCCCTCTGTTGCCATAGTAAAGAAACAAACTAAATATATCTTCCTTGATATAAAAAGACAGTAATGTATCTTATAAGTAAATATCTTTCATGGTTCCTTTTACGTATTTTCTAAAAAAAATATATATATAAAAGTACATGACTGTTATGAGTATGAGGTATATGCGTGAATAAATGTCAACACAATAAGAGTAACATAAAATATCAATTAAAATAACAATTCTTATACAACATAATAGAAGTCTATTACATACGAAAATATTAACGAACTATAACAAATAGTACTACATATTTTATATACAGGATATTCCAAACTATTTCACTCTACTAAAATGTCGCTTTAAATATCAATTACGTTTACTTCAATTAATATAATTTGATAATATAATAGGATAAAGAAATAAATTTGTATTTTAGTTTTATTCATTGCGATATTGTAGGCTACATTGTAAACTCCGGTATATCCTGTATATAATGCAACTGAACAAGTTGTAAATAAGAATAAGTAATGTAAGAAATATCAATACTTGGCATATATATATATATACTACATATTAATGACATTTACACGGTTCTAACATTTTCATTTCACTCAATTTTAGCATATATACAATCCAATCTATTTGCACAATTACAATTATATTTACACAGCCACTGCAACATCGTGCATAAAATCGTAATATTCTTTGGCAATAAAACAATTTTATTAGATAAATAATCAACAACCTTTTAATTCGTATTTTATGTTACAGCAATATTTTGTTATATTTTAATATGTATCATGTGTAATCTAAAATAATTACAAACGTGTCACTGAAAAAAGTTATACAAGTGATTTAATTGTACAAAACTATCATGAAATAAGATCATTGCAAAGATAGTTCAATGTTATATTTATAAGAAAATATGATATACAGAATTGTGAATTTGAATAAATTTAATATTGGACCGTTTTCCAAAAAGAGGGAATTCTAAATACATCGTAATTAACCCGTTCATTTATGGATAGTATTCCTACTCACATGATATACATTGTGTGTGAGCTTAATAATGGAACTTTATAAACTAGAAACTAAGCTTAGAGTTCACACATTAGCATACAAGAACTAACCAAAATAATTTATATTTAAGAAATCACCAATTATCAGTTATGGCATTATACAACTTTCAACAAATTTAGGAGTAATCTCTGAGTTAGAAGTAAATTACTATGATATATACACATTTAACGCACTGAAATATTGAAGTTACTCGAGGTTACTCAATTTGCGCCATAGGAAGGATATTATAAAAAACGATGTTTCAATATAAATCTCTTATAAAATTTTTTCCAAGCTTAGTCTAGAAAAATCTATGTATATTCATATACATATATATATATATATGTGTGTGTATATATATATATATATGAAACCAAATGAATGAAAGTACAAAATTTAGTTAACAGGTCTCGGTGGGGGAGGTGGCTGCGGTCTGCGGAAGTATATAATAAGACTAAGCATTCCTGTGAGAAATCCAATAAGATATAAATCCCAGTTTTGTCCAAGCAATTGATCCCATTTATCCAATTGATCGACTAAACTGAATTCTTGTAGATAATCAAAGCCAAAAAGGAAAGAAAGTTTGATCAAAGCTAATGCTACAGGTATTCGCGCGTCAGGACTAGCATCCGCAGCTAAATCGTAGCATCGTTTAGCTAAATGCCGATCTTTAGCTAAACCTAATCCGCGTTCATGCATGTATCCCAAGTTGAACATGGCTTGAGCGTTGTGCTGTTGTTCAGATGCCGAACGGTAATGACTTGCAGCAACTTCATAATCAACTTTTGTTCCTCTACCATAATAATGCGCATCTCCAAGTTTTACCTAAAGTAAAATAGAACTCATTTCACATTCAAAGTGAAAATCTAAATTTTTCTATTTCGATTTGTATACCCACTTGTGCAGCAGAATAGCCTTGTGCAGCAGCTCGTGCCCATAATGCTAAAGCTCTAACCAAGCCTTGCTCTTCCGATAAAATACTAGTTTCTCCTCTATCCAAAATGAATGCTGCGTTACTCTGTGCAACTTCGTAACCCATTTCGGAAAACAGGGCGTAATTGAGGAATGCTTCGTTCACCCTGCCGTCTTTATAATCAGAATGTGCGACCATTAATTGTTCGCTCCATTTTCCTCTTTCAGCGACGTTTTTCATTAATTCTGCACCCGCTGGACAACTTCTCATCATTCCAGTGCCAGTGGCATGCATCTGAGCAAGATTATAGTATGCCAATACATGACCGGACTGACTAGCTAAATTAAAATACTTGTTTGCCATTTTGTAATCCCGCCTCACGCCTATGCCACCTAAAAATAAATTCAAGTATTACAAAACAATAGATGATTATTTATGTAAATGAGAGAAGAGGGTAAAATAATCACCCCTATTATGAAAACACATATACTTACTAAAATACATATTGCCTAACTGTAACTGTCCATCAACCCAACCTTGTTCTGCAGCTTGACTGAAATATTGCAATGCTTTAGCAGTATTTCTTTCTACTCCCATTCCGTATAAGTACATCAGACCTAATCCACTTTGGCCTACTGGATTGCCTAATTCTGCAGCTTTCTTAAAATATTTATACGCTGTTTCATTGTCTTGTTTAACAATTTCACTTCCTTCTAAATAAATCTGTAAAAAGAGAGCATGTGAAAAAAATATTATACAATTAGAACATATTTGACAACCATGTAACTTTGTATATAATGTATAATATATATGTATATACGCACGCACGTACATGTGTGTATGTAAAATAATTATACTTGTCTAACTTATAGTTACAAGTATTATTGTTAAAATTTCATTTTACCTTTCCAAGGAACGCCATAGCTACTGGATTGCCAGCATCAGCAGCATGTTGAAAATACTGCATTGCTCTTTCGTGATCCAGAGGGACTCCTCTGCCTCCTTGATAATACAGTTGTCCAAGTCCGACTTGTGCCTGGGTATCGCCCTTTTTGGCTAACAATTGATAATATTCTATTAAATCTTGATCAAAAATTCCGGAAGTATATCCTGGGTTTTCATGCTCGTCTAAGAGTCGAACCCGTTGAACTACTGGACCACCACTCAGCGAAACTTCTTCTGCGACCTTCTTCGCTACTTTTCGATAAAAGTCTAAAGCACGTTCACAAGAAGCTGGTGTTGTTACACCTGCCCAATGACGATATCCCATTACCATTTGAGCACGAACATCACCACCGAGAGCAGCTACAGTATAATGAAGTAGAGCTTTTGCTTGAGATGCATTAACGCCACCAATACCGATTGCATACAAAAATCCTAGTCCCTGTAAATAAATATAAAAGAACTGATTATATAAAACTCTCTCTGGCAAAGCTTAATGTTATTCATTATATTGTGTATATACCATATGAGCAGATGGGAGTCCAGTGTCTGCAAGCTCCTTGAATGTTTTAAATATATTAGGTATGTCGTTAATAGCTACTTCCTGGGTAGTAGAATCCAAGGGAGACCCAAGTAATCTTGCCCATGTCAATATAGATTTTGCCTCATGATGGCCTAACTTTGCTGCTTCAATGAGCAATCTATAACCTTCATCTCTGTTAGCACGCATCGCATTTATGATACTGTCTGCTTTCTTAAACAATTGTTCGGCTAAAAAAAATTATAATAAAGATCATTAAGAAATAACGCAAATAAAATGTCATAATGTGATATGGATACGATCGATGCAATGCTACAAATGCTTTAAAGAGATTTCTTAATTGGTCTTATTTGTAAAATTCTTTCTTCTAATTGGTCAATCAAATGCTTCAAAGCATTACAACAGCCTATCTCTTGAGAACAAAGCTTATCTAAATTTGACGTACCTGCTTGTTGTTCCAATGACAATGGTTTTTGGACCTCCTCCTCGAGCGTTTCATACAGCTCTTGAGCTTCCCAAGAGTCTATATCGTCTTCATCCAATGGTCTCTCATTTAAAACTATAGTGTCTGTATCTTTCGTTTGAGCTATCATAGTCTTCATCCATACGTTTCTTGTTCCTGGATTCTCCAGGGTCTCCTTGTTGGCGGACTCCGTCTTGCTCTCTCCATCCTCCTTTTTACCAGTCTGCTTGAGCTTGTCGTAGATCGGGTCAGACGTCGGTACGAGCTTCATTATCGTGTCACGCAGTGCACTCAGCTCGCGCAATTGTTCGAAGGCATTCTCCATATCCTCGATCGCGACCTCCTCCTCCGTTTCCTCATTAGTATTCGATTTCTGCGTAATATCGCCGCGCTTCTTCGAGCCAGTCTCCAGTTCCGCGGCGCTCAGAAGAAACAACGCCAGGAGCGGCAGGAACACGATCCTCCCGTTGGACTTCATAGCTTCGGCGAGATTCAAACGCGGGGTCTCATTACAAACCTACAACGCCGGTGACCTTAACGTGCTCATCGCCCTCTCGGGCACGCGGTTATACGAGACGCGCGATTGATCGCATTTGACACGTACATACGTGGACATTCGCGAGAGCCGTCTCGCCTCTTCGACCAATTACGTCATTAGGACACGTCAATACACATTTTCCCGCGGCCGATGAATGTCAACAAAAACAGTAGGCACACGATCGACTGAACGAGGATCCGTTACAAGTTGTGGTATACCACGCGGGAAAACATTCGTTGAGTCAGCTGTTCGCCGCTAAAAGCGTGCAATCGCCATAATAAACGTGGTTTACGCTGTCGCTATCCGTGCCGCACAGACCACACGCGAATGCGTATTACACCGTTTTTACACCTTGTTTACACCGCTGTACACCGAGCAATAGCGACACGTCCTCACGTCCATGAAACAGAGTCCACTGTCGACCGAATACGTTGAAGCAAAATTAAGCAAAATATTTCATTTCTCGTAATATTAAAAATTCTGATGTCATTTTTTTCTCCGTTATTCTCAGTTATTCTCGTTCAGAAACGGCGTAGTACAAGATATGTTTCGCGTTTTAGATTCGATTAGATAAGGATAGATAAGTAGAGAAAAGGTGATGATGATAATAATAATAATAGTCTTCTCATAACGGAATTAATTAAGCCGCTAAATTGTCCCAACTGCACCTCGTAGAAGTCAATGTCAGACTATCAGTGTTTAGTGTCAGTTGAAGTGTAATAGTAGAACAGATAGATTTATGAAAGTTTATAGGTTAGCCGCGTTTAAGAAGTTTTATTCTGATTTTATTAACACGCTATAAATGAATATAATAATTTGTCGAGGTTTTACAATCTAAAAACTGAAGTATTTCAGAATTCGAATAACGATGATATTTTATACGAGATGTAAAGAATGCGTAATAATCGCGCTACCGACGGTAACCATTTGTTTGCTGCGCAAAATGGAAGAAATTAAAAACTATTATTCAGATTTTAACCTATCAGAAACTGGTTACACCAGAATACACGGTTTCTGGTAAATTAAAATCTTATTTCTAATATTTCCTAGTCCGATATCTACAATTGTGTAAATGTAGTTGTAAATGGTTGCAATTGTAAGAATTGACCAATCACAGTTGAATACGAGGAGAATATCCAACTGTAATTGGTGAATTACAACTGTAATCACAACTACGTTTACATTGCTGTAGATCAGACTTTATAGGTTTTCTACAATAAAAGGTATATTTTATACTTGACAGCTGAAACTAGCCGTTTCAACGACAAATAAATCACGTGATGATTGTTATCGCTAAAACAGCCAGTTTGAACGGTTCATGAAAAGTACCTTAAATCACGATTCGATTGGCTGACGCAAGTAAGTGGTATATCCAAAATTTTCCAATCACATTTTACGTGCGTCTTTATAAGAGAAATGCGATTGGATGATTTTCTTCATGCATACGTTTATGCAACTATGCAAGTTGTGTGGATATATCCTCACGCTTAACACAAATTACTATTTGTGAAAATAGCCTTATAGTCTCAAGCTATAAGAAATTGACCAATCATAATCGATTATTCTTCTCACATTCGACTATGATTGATTAATGATGTAGCAAATATGAGTTTACTGCAACGTAATTGGCAAAATCTAATCGAAAACCGACAATCAGCAACCCGTGTAATTACGGGTTTAAGCTCCTACTCCTATATATATTGAGCGAAGTGATTGACGTTAACAGGAAGGGGAAGTGTTAATCTTTGAAGGCTGCTATCTTGCATTGGCGCAGCAAAATTACAATTCATTTGTTGTTATTTGTGTAGTAAACGTGGACATAATAAAACTTATAAAAAATAAATAAATAAAATTTTCTCAAATCATATTATGTTTTGTTTTTTGTATAATACTAATCAATATTTAGAGCATAGCTTTTACTGTTTTATTTTTACAAGATTTTATCATATCCGTTTATCAAATAAATAATAGAAAATATGTTATAATAATTTGCTGTATCACTGTAAGATAGCACTATAATAACACACTATTAGTTCAGCAGATTAAACAATTGCGTGAGTGTTTGTTACTATTGATGTAGATTCTTATAAATTTAAACGTTTACTTTTTACAATTTCTCTAAAACCACAACTTTTTATAATGTACTGCCATTCTGGTATCTCCGTTGACGTTATTATTAAAATCATATGTTTTTATATACTCTGTAAAAGCTGCATTTGCACATAATATGATCCTCGTCAGAACATTGAAAAATTTATCTTATGTACGTAGGAACATAAATTTTGAAATTTGATGCATACCTGAAATATTTGTACATTGCGTAAAGTGAACCCTCATTCGTATCTTTATTAATTGATTTGGCCTGCGATCTACTTGATGCTATAAATGCTTTGAAGCATCTCATTCTTTGATTGATCAATTAGTAAAATTCTTTCTTCTGATTGATCAATCAAATGCTTCAAAGCATTTATTGTAACTATACCTTCAGTGAACTATACTTTTTATTTATTTCTTGTTATACTTAAATATTGTTTACATTTATTAAGTATTTAAAAATGTCAATTAAACACAATTCTGATTTATAAATCGCAAATATTGAAATGCGATTTGAAAACCTCTTTTAAAAATAGAAGACGTTATATTAATGATAATTTTAATATACACACGATGCGACGTCAAAAAGTTTGTAATTACAATGTTTACCTTAAAATTAGCAAATGTTATACGTAACAAACGGTATTACGTAAACGTTATACGTGCATAATCTTGTCTATAATAGTGTCCATGAACGCGATTATTAACATATGTCGCATATTGATGCTCAGATAACTTAAACGACCGTTTAATCGTAATTTATTATTAGTTTTTAAACCTTTATATTTCAATAACTTACTGCTCGGATAAATATTTGTATATAATTTATATTTACTATACATCTCTATAATTTATTTGTTAAAAACTCTCTCTTTGTTAAAATATTGAATTTTTTATAATAAATTTATATCTTAATAAATATTTACATTATACTAATCTTTTTTATGCTCAAATTTGACTTATCTTCTTAAAATCGGCCAAAATTTATTTACATATATATATAGTTCTTTTTTAATTACGCATACATATGTTCCACGTTTAATTCCTCGGTAAAACAGCTGTTTAGCAATTCATAGTTATGTATATTTATATAAGATATATAAAAAATTGTAAATAATGTAAAAGTATTTTGTAAAATTAATAGATAAAATACATTTTTTTAACAAAGTATGAAATCGTCGAAAATTTTTATTAACAGAAGGATATACTATACAATTCAACATGCCTGCGTGCAAAGTTATTTTTAAATTTTAAAAATTATAATTTCAACTGTGAAATATAACAAATTTTAATTCATTTGTCACTTCCAAAAATTCAAATACTTTTAATCGGATATTTACTTAAAAGATTAAGAAATGGTTAATAAAGTATCCAGTTTAAAATTCAATCTTCTGTTATTATTCCTTTACATTCAGCTTACTCTCTGATTTTTATTTTCGTCAGAATAATGTATAACAAATGGAACTACATTAAGATACATCAATATAAATGCGTCGTTTTAATTGAGAAAATAAATTTAAAATTAAACATGAAACAAAATTGAATTCCATATTTTTCAAATGTTTTGTTTTATTTTACAAATTCTATGAATATTAAATATATTTGAATTCTATCATTATTTATAGTTATAATATATCATTATTCATGTCAAGGGTCCTTGTTGTGTCGTTGTCCGTCACTTTATCGTGCAACTGTGCACTTTGCTTCCTTTTTCTTCTTACACGGCAAAGAACTTTAAAGCTGCTTTACACTGCCAAAATATAGCGTCAGCGCACAGTGTTAACAATTCAATATTGCCTCTATTAAATATAATAGTTTTAAGACAATTCGCGTTCGAAGAGAGAAAGAAAGAATAAAATTAATAAATATTTAAATAGTTAATTGTATTGTTTTAAATTGGGACAGACAATTAATTGAAAAAGTAAAAGGATGAAATAAATCCGAACAAATACGAAGTGCAAAGCTTCAAGTCAACTTTGACATTATATAACATTTACGAAATTAATTCTCTATTACTTTTTCTCTTTGCTAATCTAAAGTAAATGTATATTTTCTTCCATAACGTACTTTTTTCTGTTTTTATTTCTTTTTAATTCAACAGATTTCCATCCAAATGGTATAGTATGATAAATATTCATAGATATTACTATTTAATTTTTTGAATTATTTTATAATTAAATAACATTTTATATAATATTTATGCATATTATTTATAAAAGCTTTATTCGAAATATCATTAAAACGTATAGACTAAAAGTTTTTTATAATATTTATGATGAATATTTTGTAAAATAATAAACATAAAAATGGCATTGTAAGAGTCACATAAATAAAAATAATAATTTAAACAGCAAATTTAAAAATCATATATTTATTAAAATATATCAATAGGTAATATTAATTACCTATTGAAACAACGCTTAACTAACTTATAATACAACATAAAAACGACAAAGATGTATGACATTATATTACATTATACATATTAACTAGTTTCGACCATATATTTTGGTCCTCTTCAGAATAGAAATTGAATTATACATATCGTCAAACGGACTGAGAAAGATTTATAGAATTGTTATATAAGTCTGCAAAAACAATAAAAATTTTTAAAAAATTAAAAAATTATAGATAAACGTATCAAGACACATAAGAACATATATTACAATCAAAAGTTAAATAATTCAGAATCATTTTTAGTTTTAAGTTGAGACAAAAATCTTTAGATATGTTTGCACATTGTTAATTATTTTTTTGAAGTTCTGAATTATTTAACTTTTGATTGTAATATGTTCTTATGTCTTGATGCGTTTATCTATAATTTTAAAAAAATCATAATTATTTCTAATATTCTATGTTCACTTTAAATCGATAGTCATTTAACCCATATTGTTTTTACAGACTTATATAACAGATCTTTCTCAGTCCGTTTGACGATATGTATAATTCAATTTCTATTCTAAAGAGGACCAAAATATGTGGTCGAAACTAGTTAATATGTATAATGTAATATAATGTCATACATCTTTGTCGTTTTTATGTTGTATTATAAGTTAGTTTTAAGCGTTGTTTCAATAGGTAATGTTAAAATGATATATGATTTTTAAATTTGCTGTTTAAATTATTATTCTTATTTATGTGACTCTTACAATGCCATTTTTATGTTTATTATTTTGTATAAAGAAAAAGGCCTTTGTCTCTTCTTAATTTTGTAAATATTTTGTAATAATTTTGTAAAAATATTTGTAAAATGTTTGTTAAAAATATGTCATCTATTCATAGAGATCAAATCAACATCCTATTTTACATACTAGTAACGTAAACATTGCATTGTTTTGGAATTAGAAGTTTTCTTCGCTAAAATAGGACTTAAAAAGTTATTAACTTATCAAACTGCTTTCGTAGATCTATAACTGTAATAAAGTGCAAGAAAAAAATACTAATATTTTAGAATTATGAAATCTTTTTCTAATACATCATTTTTCCATTGTTGTATAGTTTTAAATACAAAATACTCTCGTATTGTGTTGTTTCTAAAGCAATTTCCTTTATTTCTAATTTTATCGCCTACAAATATCTTTTTAATATAATCAAACATGTCTATTTAATGTGTACTTAAAAAAGAGTATTCATTTTAACAATTATATATTTTACAGAAAAAAAAATTTGTTTTAAAACGAGTATTAAAAAATATTAGAATATTTACAAGACATTCAAGTGAAATACGTTGATATATCATAAAGAATATTATTGCTAATTGTATCTTTGCACGAACATATCAGATTGTATAATCTTGTAAACTCCATTCATTACAATTATCTGTAAACGAGCCAGTTACTGTTTATTTCATCAAATCATTTCATCAAAGTAATCGTTAAATTATATATTTAAAATGTACTACTTATGTAATGTGTTACTTTACATAATAGGTTTTCTTAAGAGCGGAAGCACAATCTTGTATAATGAATAGCGCATAATATGCGTAAGAATATAAACCAAACAAAATCTTTCATGTCCTTCCTTTCTATAAAATAAAAGACTCCGATTTTTTAGTCGATTTCTTTATGTTTTATGCATTACGCGTTATGCAAAGATGATCTGTGCTCTGGCCTTAAAACGCAACTCTTATTTAGGCCGGTCTTATCTCTGCTTAATTTTTTCGATTATAAATTCAAGAATTGCCAACTGCAAAGCTGAAAACTAATATAATCTCTATATACATCCTGATTTCTTAATTATTTTAATCAAATTTAATTATATTAAGTAAAAGTTTTTTTTTTTTATTGCATTTTACAAAAAATAATAAAAACTATAATTTGCAAAAATGAACAGGGAAGATAAAATGATACGATCAGTTTTTTAAGTTTTGTAGTTGGCAATTTTAAAAATTAATCGTCCGATAACAAAACGAGTGTTTTCCGATGAGAGAATAAACAAATGTAGCACAATTGGTATAACATTATTTCATTTTTTGTTTTTTTATTGACAAACGACTAGTGATGCAGCTCGATTCATGCTTGCGAGGCTTTGAGATCATTTCATCCTTGTTTAACTATACGTTAAACAAGGACAAATAATGCCCACGAGCGTAAAACGAGCATCGAATCGAGCCGGAGTCGAGGATGTAACGATTCGTCGTGTTACACTTTTACGTTAACCGTATATTTTTTTACTGAAAAAGATACAATAAGGTAGCCAAAGTTAATCGGAGATGGTTTAAAGACCGGATTACTGAATCTCCGTTGGGACCTCGTTGGCGTGGCGCAGCCTTAAAGTTCACCGCGCAGCTGGAGAGGGGGAGGTAAGTCAGGCGCTCTGTGCATCGTAGAGAGGGGTGTAGCGGTGGTGGGAGGGGACGCGCACCGCCGCCGCCGCCGCTGTTACTGCTGTTGCTGGCTCTCGTAGGGTTAGCAGCCCCGACGAATACGGGCCTGGAACGGGTATGGAGTTGTTTCTTCGGCTCTGTCGCTCCGTGTGACAACCCGTGCATTTGAATAACATCGGTCGACGTCACTTGGAGTGCGCCGTTCGGCTTGCGGGTCGCTGGCGCGCGTCGATCCGAATAGTGACTAGATAAGTTAGTCGCCGGAGAGCGGACCTTAGCTCGAGTCCGCGGCTTAACGCAGGTGTGCATGGTGTGGTCTCAAGACTCGCTCGTGAGTGATCGTCGATAATACCAGTGTGATTTGATATCGGAAGATTTCACTACTTCGTCCCACGGGCGGAGGGCATACAGCGGGCGACTCTCGGGGCCATTATTTCGTAGCGTCCCTCGAACCTCGGTTGAGCCATGACGCGGTGCCTCGACGATAGTCGTTAGAAGGTATACTCCGCGTCTTTTCCATCCGCTGGGGCCCGCACGTGCTAACTGCCGCCACGAGTTGTGTGTGTGTGTGTGTGTGTGTGTTTGTGTCTACGTTAGAGAACGCCGGTCGACCGATTTCTCGTTATTACATTGATTACGTTATCGAAGAACCGAAAAGCGTGAACGCGCACAGCCGCGCTTCACGACGCTCTTTACAAACATCTGTGTGCAAATAATCTTGACCGGGATATCTAGCTGGTTTGTTTACGACAATCTTTCCCTTCCTTGGAATTCAAATGCGATCGTCGTCCAATCGATCGCCGTATGCGCGCGGATAAGAAATCACAGCGGACGTGCAAAGAAGAGAGCGGCGAAGAGTCGCGACGACCCGACGCGACAGCGTCGCGATAACACTTGACTGATAAAGCGAGAAAGAAGAGAGAGATCTTTTCTTTTTCTTTTTTCTTTTCTCTCTTCAAGGTACTCCGACTTTCTGACTTGTTCCTCGAACAAATGGTGGAACGCAAGCGTTGGCCCATGGAGGACAGCGTGCAAGGTACCTCGAGCGCCGTCCTCGAGGAGATTTTTTACGTGACGTCGAAACGGAACACGTATTACAAGGTGAAGCTGACGGAGAAAGGTCTGAGCCTGCAGAAGGAGCACAACGGCGCCACGAAGATCGAGACGATCGCCTTAGGTGACATCATCGGTTGCAGATGCATGCGGTCGAAGCGCAGGAACACGGGCAGCTGCGCCTGCCGACCGGGCGCGTCCAAATCGCAGATGAAGCTGGTGGAGTCGGCCGAGCTCTATCAGCAGTGCGACGAGCTTGACACGTCGGCATACCTCTACATATACGCGTACACGTTGAAGAAGACGCGCATGAAGGTCACGTTGAGGCGCGAACGTACTACAATCACTCTGCGCTTCCGCAGCTTCGACAAGTACGAGGATAATCTGCGCGAGGCTAGCAGGTGGCGATTAGCGATCAAGTGCTTGGTCGCCAATGTGCCGGTGCCGAAAAACCTCATGAGCCCCAGCCACGGGAACTTGGAGACGTTGGTCGGGGGTGAGTTTAGGACTGTCTTGTGTGATAAGCTCGTTGATTTTCACGTTTTCAAAGATCCTCGTCGATCGACGGAGTAAAAATAAAAAGCACCGATTAACAATATATATTTTATATATGATTCTGCGTTGTAATCGTATTAGCGATTGCCGATTGGGCTTGCGATCGTGATTGGCGATTACTGTTCAATCAATCAGCGCAAATCAAACGGTGACTGCTTCATTTCGATTGGTTGAAAAGTTAACGCTAATCCAATTGGCAATTGATAATGTGATTACAGCTTTAGATGAATATATAAAATTGTCGATGCGAGTGATCAAATACTCTATCGTTCCGATGATAATTTTTTTTAAGTCAATTTCTGCCTTTTTCTTTGCGAATTGTCCTTTTATAGAGTCTGCGTAATAACAATAACAGCATCCGGTAATACATCCGGCTGCGCGTTTAAAAGGCGTAAATACATTTAAAACAGATCTTAATCTATTACATCATTGAGCAATTTGATTTGCAAAGTCAAATTGTAAACAACAATTAACCAATTATTGCAAAATGTTATTTTATTGTGCACCGAATGATATATATCTACTAATTCATACATCATTGAGCAATTTGATTTGCAAAGTCAAATTGTAAACAACAATTAACCGATTATTGCAAAATGTTATTTTATTGTGCACCGAATGATATATATCTACTAATTTCATAACGGCCACTTTATTTATTGTTTTAACTTGATGAAAAATTTTACAGAATGATAAGCATATTTTAATTTGATGAAAAATTATACAAAATGATAACGTTTTAATTTGATGAAAAATTTTACAATGATAAGCATGCAATGAGTTACACCAACATATGTACATTCTGATATTTATGGGATTATGTACTACTCGAATGTATGTAAGATAATCGAATCTATATCAGGAAATTAGTGTTATCTATATAGTTACCTACATTACGAAACTTAGTTTTACAGTTTATGAATTATGATTAGTATTAGACTAGAGAAAGAGAGAGTTCTTTATTTCAAAATCATTTCAAGTTATGTTTTAAAATGTTAATATACAGTTTTGTGATTGATTTATAATATCTGAAGGTTACACTGAGAAAATAATTATTTATTTGATTAAATTTATTTGCTTCGTCTTTATTTCGTTTTTAAGACAATTTGACTTAGGCCGATATTCATAGTTAGTTCTTACATTCAAGACTCTTAAGTTTAGTCTTAACATCTTAAGACATTAGTTGAGACAATCTTGAAATAAGAATTGACAATACCAGCCTTAAATACATATATATTCTTCAACGAAGAAAAATAAAGACAAATTAAATTATTAATTTAGTTAAGTAAATAATTTTTTCTCAGTATGTATTCAAGACGATCTTAAATGTAAGAACTAAGATATGAATACGTATATCCGACCTGTATGACTGCAATTATTTGTTTTCCGTGTTGTATTATTATACAATAGCATGTATGCACACGTACAATATTATCTTTTTCTTATATGATTGCTTTAAAATTATACCTCATTCAGACTTACGCATTTCTATACAGCGATCGGATTAGGCGCGACTGATACAGCGTGTTTCGTTATTAATGGCAAGCCAGATATGAAGAAGGATAATTCTATTACTAGAGTTTTAAAGATATTTTATGAAAAAGTAAATAAGAATAAAATAAAATTTTTTAAAATCAATTAGGAAAAAGTGTTTCAATAAACTGATTAAATATTCAGTAATTGATGATATCTCATCAGTTACTGATGAAATATCATCAGTTACTAAATAGTTAATCAATATATTTAAATACTTTTTCTTTAAAAAACTAAAAAATTAATTTTTTTCGAGTTTACACAATTTTAGTTGTAAAGCTATAATTTTTTTCTTTTTTATCTTTTTTTGTCATTTACTCGGAGATAAGAAAAAATATTTTATGCACATGGAATAAATTTATATGTAACAACCTTTGATTAGTAGCAAATCGATCGAAAAAATTTAGCTAGATACTAATAACTTTTTGCAGCATTACTTATATCTGAACGTCCTACATAATTATTTTAATGTGTGGTCCAACAAAATTATTTTCAAATCTTTGCCTAAATTTTTAGCAAAATCAACTCTTTCTGTGTAATGATGTAAAATTGACTTTGAGATTTTTCACAAATAGTTTTGTTTGAAAACTCCATAATAAAACGTTTGTTCGCGTTGCTTGAAATTCCTAAAAATTTTTCAACTTAAAATGAGATAGATATTTAGAGAGTTGATAAAGAGAGAAAACGAAGATGCTGAGTGTAAAAAGTGCAAGCAACGCGAACAGATCAGTATTGGAATGTCGGAAATGAAATAATCAAGGAAATAATTTAACTTTCGTTCTGAGAATATGGCAAAATGATAATATTGATAATATCGTATATTTAGAAATTCCCTTCTACAGAAGTATAGAAATAACTTGTGTTGGTTTGAAACTTTTTTCTTTAGACATTTAATTTTTTTCTTACATCAGAGGTTGTCTGGTAATGTGTTTGTTATCGAGTATGTAATGATTCCTTATGCTCTCTCTGTGCATTGCTTTTGTGTGCAAATGCAAATTATATCTATAGGCTATAACACACACATACAACACAACATACTATATTTTAGTGATTAGTTCCTGTAGACTGTACGTTTTCGTAACTACTTATGTAATCTGTAATTTCAGTCATTACGCGTATCACATAGTCCACGTGATCTTGCGATTTACAAGTTTTAGCAATAAAGATATAAGGAATGTGTTTATGTGTGTGACTTCTTACATTTAGTATATATGTGAATAAATGATATATTTCATCATCAATTTCAAAACTTTGTAGAGATAATGAAATAAGATAGTGGGAAATAAAATATTTTTCACTATGTGTTAGTAGTTCTTGAGAATCTTATGGGTATATTGAAATTTTGCAAATATCTTTTTTGCAAAGTGATGACGTTAGAGACTTTTTCTAGAAATTTTTTTTGAAATATTAGAAGAATGAAACGACACTGTACCTTGAACATGAGATAAATTTTTTTAAATGGAATATGACTTGTAAATTTCTAATTATTGACTTCTTAATAATTGCAAACAATTTGAAGAAAAACATTCACTTAATAGCTTGAAAATTTATGAGCAAAATTTATATAACTGAGAGAAAAATGTATTACATTTTAATAAATATTTTTTGAATAGTATATTGGCTGAATATTTATAATATTATATATTATTTTGGACCATGAACCATTAATTTGATTTAACTATCATTTTTTTAGTAAATATTCTTTTATTGTAAGTAAACATTAAGTATATTAGTCAAACAAATATTTATGAAAACTTTAGTACATTTTTTTCAGTGTATTATAATACTGATTTTAGCATATCGCTCTGTTAACAGAAAAATGATATCAGAAAAAGTTAACATTTTTTAGGTAGTGAAAGAAAATTGATTTCGAAGGTTTTCATAAAGAATTTTTCTATAAGAAAGAATACCACAACTCTGATAAGAGACCTCTGATAAGGAGAATAAAATTTACATTATACTAGAGTTGCAGCATTTGTATTTTGAAAACTCATCATTATTTTAAAGAGTAGATTATAATTGAATTTCGATGTATATTAGCTTTAAGTTTTATTTGCTTTGATTTCAACTGATTGCGTATGGACATTCTCTAGTTATTATGACTTTTTATGTTGCATATTTGCATAGAGTGTAAGAAAACTGCAGATAAACAAGGTTAGTCAAGAAAGTTCAAAGGATGGAAAAAATGTTATTCGGTTTTTATTCTCTCTTATTTTACTCAATGAAATAAAGTGACAAAAACTATAAAAATGATTAACATTTAACATTGAAATGTCATTGTACATCCTTATATAAAATATCTTTTTAATTATTGAATCATATTATAATTTACAGGTAAACGAAATCTTATAGTAATAAAGATTTTTTAATTAAATTGATATGTAAAGTAAATTAACTCACTTCTGTAGGAACTAAAAATATTACTGAAAATACTATTGAAAAATACTACTGAAACTCTTGAGAAAATTAGAGGAAATCAATGCCCGATTCTGATTGCTCTCTATGTAGGAGGCTAAGACTCATAACTGATATAGATATAGTTTATCGGATTGCGTTGATGATGCAGATGAATATGTAAAATATATTTTTGAAAATAATAACTTATTAATATGAATAAAAGTATAAATAAAGTTACTGAATTTTACATTAATTGTTAATAACAAAAATATAGCAGTAACAGAATTGAAATTTTTTACAAATATAGATGTAGGGTGCTTGTAAATTAGAATATTGAAAAAAAAAAGATTTTTTATTTGTTTTATTATTTTGAGAAAAGACCAATTTTTATCGATTTGTTCCAGAAATTAATAGTGGTTGTTTTCTTCACTGGTACGGACTTTATCTTATTTAAAAATGTAAAATTTTGTTCAACTCTGAGATAAACAAAACGCTTATTCAGCGTCATTCAAGTTATGATTGATTAATAATTTTTGTCTCTTTATAAATATTTTTTTATAAATATCGTAAGATAATTTAAAATCGTGTCAGCTAATTCAGTCGTTGGGTAAACGTCTACTTTACGTCCGTCTGCACGATGTCTCGAAATGATTTTATTGTATGATACAATTACGGTGTATATGTGAGATGTTATATTTTTGTAACTTTGACTTTGCTTGATCGCGAACGCAATTGTTATCATAATATCGCGGTATAAGGTGTCTTGATTGCGAAATGCAGCTTCCAGGTTTATAATTTTTCCAATCTTCCTGTTGGCATACGTTGTATGATTTCAACATTGGTATCCGATTGAAATTTTTCCGTGACGCACAAATACACGAGTTCGCGCGAACACGATTTAGCATTGTTGTACATAAGCGTCATTTTCAAGTACAAAGAAGGAAAGTCCGGTACGCCGTTTTATTCGAACTTGAAAAATTTATTGAGAATGCGGTAGTAATGTTTATTCTTTAAATGGTAACAACGAAGTTCGGTATCTTTTATAGGTAGTATCTTTATAGGTTATAATTTTTTAAAAAGAGTTTATTATTCGGAGGCGAAAGAAGAGAGTATAATATATTTCATGCGTTGAAAATATTTAAATAGATATTTAATAAAATATAAAATTTTGGAAACACATAATTTTTATTGACAGTTCTTATTAATATAATTTTATAAATGTAAAATTTTAATTAATGACTTAAAATTTTATCTCAAAAAGAATACAGAATTAAGAGAATACGGTTGATAACTTTAATTTATGCTATAACGATGAATAAGCCACGAAAATTGATATTATAAAAATAGTTTTTGAAACAAATTATGTAAACACACGCGTAATTGTCTTAATTTTTTGTATTTTAAATACGTCAGACAGAAAATTATTTTTTTTTTGAAACGTTTATATTTATTGATAAATCTGTGTGGGAAAGACTCTCTTATCACACAAACAAAATAAAGAATAAGACAAATTTGTCATATCTTTAGCGATAATTTATTTTATCTTGTTTTTGATAACCCCTGAAGGCCGTAAAACTGTTATTTTTGTACAAGCTTAATAGTGTTATAAGTTCGTATTTCTTTTAATATCGTATTGTACATAAATCGCTGTTCATAATAGCGTCATATCCTTAATTAAATATACAATGACGTTGGCAGTATCAAAAGTATTGGTCGTCTATCCGTCTATTTCATTCGTACGCGCTCGATATTATTTCAAATAACGCGGAAGTTGGGAAAGGATTGCGTGCTCATAACAAGCCACCACGACACAAATTGCGTTATGTTTGCGGTTACATAATACATTATTTATGATCTAGTAAACGTTGATATAGAATTGAAAAACAATAAGCACCTTTCTGAGCGCTCTATCGTTGGAAGAGTTTTACGAGAAAGCCGAGAGTGCGCGAGTTTCTCTACGCGTGCACACGCATATTTCAGAAAATGACAAGATTTCTGTGAGTTTCTTGTTGTCTCCTTGGATTTTTTTCGTGACGCCTTCAGTTACCTCGATTTAAAATTAGAAAGGCTCGGCTAATCAACGCTCGCGTATTTTTTCTTTCCTATTCCTTTGATGCGAATTATGCTGTATTGTCAGTTGATGCGCTCGCAAGGAAAGATGCGAAACAAGATTAGCAAAAAAGTTTTTCATCATATGCAAATAACTTACCCATCTGGAATTTCTTTCGGGTTATTTAATTGATTTATTGAATGTTGTTTAATTTTATCGATAAATTACAAATTATGGAGTTATATGCATATAATGTTAATTTTTAATATATTCATGGAATTACTTAAAGAGGAGTCTTATGTAATTCTATTAATGAAAAACACTTAGTCTTAACATTTTCCAAGTAAAATTCTCCTGCACAAACATCCTTTAACAATCTTTTTTTTTGTTATTGATAGTGCTGTCATAGTGCTTTTAGCGCCGATCTTATGCGTTTTATTTTTCTTGTCTCAACAACGCGCGTTGCAAAAAGTATCGTATATATATCATTTATCTTATTATTGACGTTAGACAATAATCGAGACAATAACACTCTACGATATACGACATTGAACGTTTCAGGCTATTTAACATTAGATCGCATTTATTTAATTATCTTGTATCGCAAGTAAATAAATGATAAATATAAAGATAAAGTCAACTCTTTGTGTAGAGAGAGAGAGAGAGAGAGAAAAATTGAAGCTTTTTTAATTTATATATCAAAAAGAATTTTCGATTTTTAATATTAAGAAGACATGAGATGAGATATGAATGGTATTTTAAAATAATAAAAAAATTATGAAAATATTACCAGTTTTATTTGCATTTAAAAGTAATAAAAGAAAAGTAAAAAGAAATTTAGTGACGATATGAATAAAAAATTATTTCAACAAGTATTGTCAAGTAGTATTTTTTTATTTGTGCTCCAATTGAATGGTATAGAAATGTATTAAAAGAATGACAAAAATTTCAATATTTAATAGAAGTATTTTAAGTATTTAAAAGATTTATAAAAAGTTACATTGCACGATATCGAATTAATTGTTCTATAAATAAATAAAATATTTATTTGTTTTAAATCTTTGTGTAACTAATCGAGATGAATTGCAATAAAATTTTGCATTAAGTTATTTTGCATACTTAAAATATTTATACAAAAGTATTTGATATATTTTAAATTTTAGTTTATAATAACAAAAAAGATATAACATACACACACTGTTAAATCTATGTTGTTAAATTTAACCTAATTTAAATTAACCTAATTCTAACACTGCTCCTACTCAATATACAGCCTTGTGTAAATGCATTAGGCACTTAGAATTCTTTTGCATTGTACATTTTTTGCATTTTGTATTGGAAATTTATTTGTCTCTCGGCGAAAAAAAAGTTTTCGACTACGTATCTTAAAGTATAAAGAAAGGGCGAAATCTTCGACTTTCGAATCTGTATTTGAATCTGTTGTCTACGATATTTTGCTCTTAAATTATATAAAATTGAAAAATGATATTTTTGCAAAATTTTGGTTTTACTTTAAAGCGTTAGAGTTTAATGAAACGTCAGCAAACAAAATTTAATACAGAAGTATTATATCTGAAAGTAAGCTTCCTAAGTTTTAAAACGTTTTTAAAAAAAAAATTTGTATGGGAATTTTTTGTAAAGATAGAATTTTTTATGTAAAATTTTATTATGTAAAAACTTACTTTTTCTAAAATGTTTTTTAATTTCGAAACGAAATATACTAATACTAAAAATACCAATCAATCAAGCACATTATAGTAAACATTTTTTATCTTTTTTTAAATATTTTTTATTTTCGAAATTAATCGTAGACAAAAGATTCAAATTTAAAGCCCTATTACTACGCTTCAAAATGCGTGATACAAAACCTCTGAGATTTTTTTCATTGAGATATTAAATTTTTCGTAAAATATGAAAAAATTATATCTAAAAGTATGTCTAATACGTCTATTAAGCTGGCACAGCCACTTCAGCACAATCAAACACGACCAATAACATATTTTTTTGCTATTTTTTTGCTCTATTCCCGATCTTTTTGCTCCAGCCGATTCGTTAAAACCCATGGCTGTGCTAGATTAAGACTAAAGTTAGCACAGCCACAAAGAAAAATAGCAGCAAATGAAAAATCAAGTATATATTCTTGAAGGATTATTTGATTTGCTAATTTGTTGATTTTTTGTACACATAATGTTTTATGTGTTTCGTTAGAAGAGAGAAACGTTTATACTCTTTTATACGTCGTAGTCACACATGGAAAATGCAACTGCTACCTATTATGCAATCATGATTAAGCTATTATTTATTTGGTGTCAAGTCAGTTATCAAAGTACATATGTCTACATAGCGAATATATAAGTCTCGATAAATGACAGAAATGTGTTATGAACACAAATATTAATTCCCTAACGTGATTATTGTGAATGTATTGAAATATTAAAAACTTTTTAAGATCTCTCTGAATAGAATGTTTCGATAGACTTGTTTGCTGAAAACGAAATTTTCCTGAAAGTGAAATTAAACTATCACATTAAGTTTAAATCATTAAATGGAATAAATAATTATTATCAATATACAATTTAATGATAATATGCTAATTATAATATGTATATGAAAAGAATCGTATTGTAATAAATATAAATTCATATTAAAGATAAAAGATGACACTTCAAAGTAATGCAAACAAAATTTTAAGAAAAACTTTATTTTGGCCAAAATAAATGATAAATATGACTAAGAACGCCAATTTTGGCATTTAATCTCAATTTTCTTAAAAAACTGACGTGACAGCTCAAGTCGACCACCGAATTCATTTTCAGCGATCAAAAGTCCATTAAAAAATACTTTGTTTATTCAGGCTTCAACGAAGTATTGAACTGTGTAATTAATGGATTTTTAAATTACTAAATGTCAATACGAATGAAAGATGCAGTTGTTTCACATGCTGAAGATTTCTTAAAGCCCGATTCTTCGCTTTTTCGTGAGAAAGGCGGAACTTCTTCAAAGTAATAAAGAGCAGTGTGATGCATACTGAATACTGAATGCTCGATGCTTTTGTGATAAGAGTTTATGTTTTCTCCGGAAACAATATACGATAAGGATCAGCGGATGCGCTAAGGAATTCGTTAAGATTAGAAATTTGATTTTTCGAAAGTATTTTCCGCTGTCTAAAAGAAGATTTGGAATTGCCTTATTTTAAAAAGTTGTAGTACACACGTCTTGCATGTTTTATTGGAATTATTTATTCGAGAATGATTTGTTGACAATGCTAAAACCATGAAATCGCGTCTTTCAAATAACAACAAAATAATTATAAGAGGTTTTGGAACAATACATAACTTTTGCATTTTTTCTCGCTAACGTTTCAGCGTGTCCGGGTGAGAATCGGAAACTTCTGGTGTTGGTAAACCCGAAATCAGGACCTGGCAGAGGCAGAGATACCTTTCAGAAGAGAATCCATCCAATCTTGTCGGAAGCGGAGAGATCTTACGAGATTCACATTACCAAGTGTTCTAATTACGCCCGCGAGTTTGTGCGCACGAGGGATATTTATCAGTGGAGCGGTCTATTGATGGTTGGTGGCGATGGAATTGTCTTCGAGGTGGTGAACGGAATCTTCCAAAGGCCTGATTGGGAGAAAGCTCTACGCGAATTGCCGCTCGGGGTGATACCATGCGGCTCCGGCAATGGCTTGGCAAAGTCTATCGCTCACGCTAAGAAGTAAGTTAGTTAAAGAAATAAATTTAAAACACGTGCACCTGTTATTCTCGTGCACCCTAATTATCATTATCTTACGTCACAGAATTGCATTTTAATAGAATTAACCTTGAATGGTGACATGTGACTCGACAGAATTTAACATTATCGATTTTATTCCATAATCTGTATAAATATGACATCGTTTTTCGAAAGAAAAACATTGAAAGTGAGAAAAATGGAGTAACACTAGTTCGCAACAGAAAACTGTTTTAATAATTTTAACTATTTTTTTAATGTATTTTTACTGAATCAGAATTCAATATCTAAACAAACTATATGAAATAAAGTCCACTGCAAGCAACAATCATCGAAAGTGTAAATTCGTAGGCTATAAGTATTATTATTTTACAAAAACAAAAAATATGGATCAGTGGATCAGGCTATTGAGAGTCAAACGTGGTTCTTATTACGTAATTGTCTATTTATTCATAACAATCATGAACGTTTCGACTTATTTTGGAGTCATCTTCAGCATACATAATCTCTATATATCCTTGAAAGTTGGAGATAAAGTCACCATCAAATTAGTCGATCTGATGTACAATCTAATAAAATATTAATATTTTTAAACTGAAATTAACTAAAAATTAAAAGTAGTGACTCACCTCAAACTTCAAAGAAACGTCATTTAACAAATGTTTTAATATCACAAATTTATCATTTTGGAATCAATTTCAATTTGACATGTACAAAGTCTTCACATACGAGTCATTCAAATACATTATTATTTTAATTCACGTTGCTTGACATACATACTTTATATATATATCGATATTGAGATTATCCGTTTTATAATAAAAAAAAATATCTCGTTTATTTATCTTTGATTAATCGTTTTTGATTAATCGTCACAAACCAAAGCAAAAATGTTAGATTGTACGATTTGTACCATGAAGTTCTAAATTATAGGTAAAAAAAACTTTAAACCTTCCTCTATTAATTGCCATAAGACAGAGATTTAGTTTCGTTCTGTATTTCATACGGGATGTTTTAAACGTAGTTTTCATAGCTGTAATTTAATCTATTGACGCTTTGGTAATTTAATGCTAAAGATAATTTTAGAATAAAATAATGTTTCAGAGAACCGTACGATCGCAATCCTTTGCTTATCAGCGCACTGTCGGCGGTCAAATGTAAAAAAACATCGATGGATATTGTGCGCGTAGAAACAAGAAACCAGATCCTTTTCTCGTTTCTGTCGGTGGGCTGGGGTCTACTCGCTGACATTGACATCGAAAGTGAACGACTACGCGCTATCGGAGGCCAAAGATTTACTGTCTGGAGCGTAGCGCGTTTAATAGGATTGAGAACATATAAAGGCAAAGTGTCCTATTTACCTTGCAGCAAGGTTCCCCCGACAGAAAATATGGAAAACGGCAATATATATCACAAGGACTATGTCGCGGAGAACATATTGTCGCATTCGAGAAGCTATGGCGATGAATTGGACAGGTAATAATTCTGCGTGATGATAATAATAGATTTTTTAATAGAATGTAATGACAAAGATAACTGTACGTATTAAGGCACATATTAAGTCAGCGTGATTGTCTGTCAACGCGCCACGCGCCAGATATCAAAGATGATTTCAGAGTATACGTACAAAAGTTTTATCATCGAATCTCTTGAAGCTATTTTATATATTTGAAGATAGAGAGAAACTGAATCTGCTCGAAAAATAATGTCGCTGTGAGTATGTTGTGTGTACGTGTGTTTATTGAAATTGAAGTATGTATGCACACTGCATATTCACCGAGTTTATCAACTTGTTTGACTCTGAGAATATTTTCGATAATTTTACACAAATATATTACACGTAATAAGAAAAATGTAATATATGTTTATAATTATTTATTTATGTCGTTTCTTTCCATTATTTATCGCGTTTATTTATGAAAAATAAAAATGTATGTAGGTGTTGTGCCAAGCCTGAATCAGAACCGAAAGGTTTCTACAATACTTTCGGTGAATCATCCAACGATTTGAACGGTTACGATGATAACGACGTGATAACTGAGAACCTAGCTCTCGAGACGGAAAACGAGAGGAGACACAGACTTGACAGCTTCTACTCTGCAACATCAGCAAAGTCGACTTATTTCAGCACAGGTTCCGCCTCGAGTTATCACAGTATGGAAGACGATAATAGCACAGAGATTGGTATGTTACTAAAATTGAACGTAGTTTTATTGAATTTATAACATCGATATTAATAAATGTATCGTTAAGGTGCAGAAAACATCTGTAACAATCAAGTTATGTATGGGCCATCATCTACACTTCCGGCGCTGACAACGCAGCTCTCAAATTGCTGGACAACGATTCAAGGTAAGGTAATTGCTTAAATAACGGAAGTCTTTCACTGATAATTTGAATTTCGAAAATTTTAAACAATATTTTTTGCTTTTTTTTTAAACATATATTTAACTAAATTCTTACCAAAGTATTTAGAAATTATATTCGAAAGAAATAAATACTTTAATTTTAATATTTATAGTTTATAAGACTTGCAAGAGACGAGTTCAAAGACACATGTATTTGTTGTCATATAATATGGTGCCAAAGGTTGCCGCGTAATGCATCACTTATTAACCATTTAACTCCAGTTGAATTCGAAGTAACGTCACGTACCACTTAATAAAATGCCGAATGTAATGAAGCATAATTGAAAAAATATATATAATATAATGTAATACATTTCAGTTGCAATACTTACATTCAAAAAATTAATTCATAGAATTTTTGTACCGTTTTTCACAATGCATAAAAACTAAAGATGAATTTTACGGTATGTATATGTATATATGTAAAATATTGTATATTTAAAATTTCAGGAGAATTCATAATGGTACATGCAGCTTATCAAACACATTTAGGACAAGACTATTTTTTTGCGCCACGTGCTGCATTAGCTGATGGAATTATTTGGCTTTTAATAGCTAAAGCCGGTATTACACGGGCCAACTTAGTGCAAGTAAGTTATATTATGAAACAGGAAGAAAAAGAAAACAGTCGATGATTATACAGCGATACTTATCGTATTTGTTTATTAGTTTTTATTAGGTCTGAGTAGCGGAACTCATGTAACTTGCCCTGGCGTCGATATGATACCTGTAAAGGCATTCCGAATAGAACCTATGGAAGGAACAAGTGGACATATAACCGTAGACGGTGAAGAAGTTGATTACGGACCGTTACAAGCAGAGATATTCTCTTCCTTAGCATCGGTGATGACACCCTGACATAAACGATAATCATGTGTATTTAATGGTGATATCAAACAAAATCAAATAATTTGAAGATAATTCGACGAGAAATTTATTCTAGGCTAGCTTAGGATAAATTAGTTACAAAATAGTAACATCAAACTGTTAATATGCATTAATATCTATAAAAGATTTTTTGGATTGTAAATTTTAAATTGACAATCTACGTAGGGCTGTTTAAACCTCAATCTATTACCTTGCGATACGCTCAGTCGAAAGGGAAAGTCCTTTTTTTCTCTTCATAATGAAGAGGTTGATAAATATATACATAGAATATTATTTATTAATCTAAAGTTGGACGGGTTAAATCTGTTGCATCTTAATAGATACATTTAGCTATTTTGTAAAGTTTTCTATCAGTTTGTACAGTGTATCTATACATGCAACAAAATGATATTATTTGTGCTCACTATTGTAAACTATAATATTACGCGTAAGATATTATATTTTGTTACGATGTAAAATAAATTGATGAATTGTTTCTTTTTTACATATACAACTATTTTGCAAATCAATACTAACTAAATACATTAGAAAACTGTAAACTTTATTATCACAATTTTTAATATGTTTACGTCTTACATCTTTAATGCACAATAAAATAATGTTGCATTGTTTACGATTTGATATGCTGCATAAATAAAATAGTATTTTAATAATAAGTAATATACTACAGAGTAATCGATTTGATTACATATCAACTACATTATTACTTTCATTTCCACATAAAGAATAAAGAACGATACATGACAGGGATCGTGTATTGTAAAATTGTGTATAGAGTAAAATTGATTACGTATAATACGTATGGATATAATGCGTATGTTATACTTAAAATATTAAATTGCAAATTAAAATTTAATTATCAATTCTACTAATTAATTTTTTCTAATTCAATTTTTCTCTTAATTAAAAGTATTGTTTTTTTTTTGTGTATGTGATTATTATTGTATTTAATAAACACAATTGAGAGAAAGATGAGATTTAAAAAAGTTGTTTTATTTTAAATCAAGCTTTTTCCGAATTTTTATCATCTTTCATAACACATAATCTTGACTCAGTGTCATGTATAGTTATAAATTACTTTCGCCATAATTTCTCATGATAAAGGTCAAAGAGAATTAACCAACCAGAATTCTTTCTTTTTTTCCCTTACATTTTATGGAAAAGAGAAACTTTGATTTTGTTATGCACTATGCGTTATGCAAAAGTCTGTGCTGTCGCCATAAAGTAGTGCGATGCAAATTTAAAAAGTTGGAAAAGTTTTGTTTTCCTATATTCAAGAGAGCATCACACACACATGACGCATGAACTAATGTTTCCACATTAACGAGTTCATTCTGGATCACCTCTATTTATGAATAATGAATTCTGAATACGATAAATCTTAATGAGAATGGCGAGATTTCGCGTTTCCTGTTTACGCTATAAATAACAGTTGATCACTTACTGTTTACTCTATTATCGCATTTTAGAAACATAACTCATAACGCTTGTAATACGCATATGGGAATTTTGCTTCGATAATTAATATTCAAGGAGATATGTTTAGGTAACAAAAGGCGAAACGTTACCGTTGTTAAGTCTACACGTATCATTTATTATTCTCTCTTTACAACAGCGAGTCGTGATCATCGATCGCCATCAATCCCGATGATCCACCTCTCGTCCCTCTCTCTCTCTCTCTCTCTTTTCTCGCTTTAAAACTTCCCTTTTGTACGTGGGTCTCTCCGCATACGCGTCACTCGAGTTCGATGACGATGAAATAGATGAAGTATGAAAATGAAAAAAAAAAAAAAAAGTGAAGAAGTTTATGGATCAGTCTCTTTACCACAAGCTGAGTAAAACAACAATGAACACGGAGAGCGCGGTTTCCTCAGACGAGCGCCGTCGTGCCGAGTGATAAAATTCATCGCGCGAATTCCACGGTCCTGGCGCGGCAACGACGAGCGGCGTGTACGAACTGTCGACAACAGCTCGAGAAAAAAAAAAAAAAAAAGATAGAATTGTAGCTCGTTAAAATAATCTTAAGTAAAACTATTTATATGCATGTACGGGTGCGTCCCCCGAAATCGTCGCCGTTCCGCTTGCATCTATAGATTCTCTTTGTCAATTTAGAAGCGAACTTGTGATCTCGAGAAAAGTAACAAGTAAATTAAACGTATGGAAATTATTTTTACTCCGTAAAGCGCTACAAAACATTGAATCTTTGCGGAGTCGTGAGAAAAATCGCTCGCCTGCAAAACAAAACTTCAGAAACTACATTCCCTTAAATTGTACGAGAGAATCCTATAAATAAGTCGAACGGCAATAACTCCGGAGCATTCTGTATACATATCCGTATATACTACAAACATAAAAATGCACTGGCCGAATCTCTCTCCGTTTCCCTCGACCTTTTTCTGTCGCAACTGAATTGATAATAGAATCGTGACTCGTAAAAACGCCATACACACGTTCTACGTGATTGCGAGGAAGAATTCTACGGAAAATACTTTTGCTCCGACTGAAAAGTCAACGACCTCTTGGAACAGTCTGGCAGTTTATCTCAAGGAAACTAATTTCCAAATAGGCTGAGCGATGATTGTATGTACAATGCGGAGAATGATGGCAATTTTTTTCTTTCAGTCGCGCCAGAACACATCGATCAGTGGTCTAGTTTCCATCGAAGTCCTCAATTCGGTACACGCTACTTCCATTGGAAATAGATACCTTGTGGATCGAAGCGAGAGTGAGATAAGCACAACCTATTGTATTTCTATCGATTAATTTTGGTTTCACACGCCGCATTAAGTGTAAATTAACACTCCGATGGAAACTAGATCGGTGACACGGGAGGGATGTCGACTAAGGACAACGCTCGCAATATTTGTACGCAACGCAGGCGGTGTATATACAGAGTCCATTATTGAAATAATATTAAAAATGGAAACACATAGATACGCAGAAACGTAAATTCGGAGGTCTGCGGAGATAAGTGGTTTCTATCACACATCACAATTTTTGCGAAACGGCCAAAACGTCTCCCCGATCTCGTGAGTCATGACTATGTAAGCGCGAAAAGGAATAAAAAAAAAGAAAAGAAAAGAAAAAAGGATAAAGATGAGAAATCGCAAACGGTGACATTTCAGCGGAGTTTTCCAATCGAATGCCGGAGAATCGGGACAGACGTATTTATCTCGCTTTGTTTCCACGTCGTTTCGCCTCTACGATGACAAATTAATATCGAAGTGTCATTCGGCGCGCGCGCGCGCGCGCTCTCTCTCTTTCTCTCGCTCTTCTTGTCCTGACTTTCCGAGAGTTTATCGTGCACGTACATAAAAGTATATATACACACGCACACACACACACACACACACACACACGCACACACACGTACACATACACACACGAGAAGACAAATCAAGCGTATTCGCATTCGGAACGTATACATACACACTCCATGCTCACATTTTCGCGCATTTTACAGTCGCAGTCTCTCCGCATAAAAAATTACAGAATCGATCTCGGCTCGGTAATCCATTTCACCTCCCAGCAATGCCTGGAAATCGATTGCATATCTTTAAATTTAAAAAGTAAGCAAATTTACTAGAATATATATATCAAGGTGCATCATTTCAATGGCTGGGTTCATCAGAAAGTAGCTTTGCAACTGCTGTAAAATTCTTTAATAGGATTGATTTTTACATTCTAGATTCAACAAGGAAATAAGAGCTAGATCAATCCTACTGAAAAATTTTAAGACGCAAAAAGCTGTTTTTTCTGCTGAACGCAATCATTGATCGATATCTGCTGAGAACAAAAAAAAGTTGAAATAATCGCGAGCAAACACAACACTTTCTTTGACATTTATTAGTTATAAAAAAATTTGACTGTGACGACTACATATTTCTGTAAAATATTACGCGGGCAGTTGATAAGTCGGTGACTTTTTAAACGAAGACTATGTTAAAAAAATAAATTGAACTTTTGATGAAACAAATTTTTTTAATTTAATGATCACTATTTTTACCAAACAGCTCGCGTATCTCAATAATTGTAAAAAAAAATAAAATAGATAATTTCCTTTAGGAACAAAATTTTATTTCGTTGTATTTAAATGAAGATATATTTCAGTGAAATAAACATTATAACCGTCAAATAAATTTTTAAATCTTTTTTTCGGTGTAGGAGAAATTTGCTTACTTTTATAATTTTCATCGTTTTAAGATGTACAATTGATTCTTTACTTCTGAAATTTATTTACTAACTGCAAAATTACGCGTTAAGAGATCTTATTACCTAAAATAATTTTTCTACGAACTTGGACTGCGAGCGGCGAATTCTGCTCCTTCTCCCATTTTATCTTTTTTTCTCTCCTTCGAACGATAAGGACTACCGATGCCATTGGCACGTGGACGTTGTCGATTGGATCTTTCATCGTGAGAATCATGTCGAATTACGAAATCATGAACACCCCGCGGAAATTCTCACAGTTTGATATTATCGAAACTATTTTTATCTATAAGGATAGAATTTATTACGAACACGTTGCTGGTACAAGAGAACTTGTGACACGCGTTGTACATCACTTTTACATCGAACTAATAAATTAATCTTTTGGCCGTTAGAAACGATCGACACACTTTCCTTTTGCCAATCGAGTACTCTACAGGCGAATAAAACTGTCGATTTTATAAATATATTTTTGATAAATAAGCGGGGTGCCTTTCAATACATAACAAATTATGACGTATTCCTTATTCGGGCAACCAGCACTCGAATTGGCGTGTCTTATAAAATATCGAAGAAAATTAATCAATTTCGCACATATATGGTACACCATGATTTAGTCAATACTGTGATGGAATAATTCAATTTACAATGTAAGTTTACAACGTACAATATCAAATAAGCTTGAAACATAGCCAAGATTTTCTTTACAACCGATTCTGTTGGATAGTCCGATCGATCGGAGAATGTTTCACTTAACAGCGTAGAATACTCTAAATTTTACAACTAACAGCTCGCTAATTTAATGCATTGACTAAAGCGTTTTTTTTTCCAATGATTTTCATTTCAGCGAGAGACCGAGGGTTCCATTTCCGAGGACCAAATCGGGATTGATTA